CTTTCAGAACCTATTTGCAAGGATAATTTGATATTGGTAGGCACTCTGGTCTGGAAATTTCAGACATGAAGCTGAGAAAAAAGCAACAAACTTCTCAACAGAAGGAGTTGGTTTCCAAATATCTTTTTCCTCTTTGGGATTAAGATTGCCATTTTAGTTTCTAAGCATTGTGAAGAAAAGATTACACCCTGGGAAACAGACCAGCTTTGTTTGAAGTACTCAAAGCATGTTTTGTACTATTTTGTTCTGAACAAATAATACCAATGATTTTGGTTTGCTGTGCTTTGAAAACAGTATTCTGAGCAGAAGCTTTGCTGATCATGTACAGATATATTGGACTGATGAAAAGCTAGATTTTGGGCTGGAAAGAATTTTGTCCATGAGAGGATGGATGAGCTTTGTTATGATCTCTCATTTCTTGTATGCATGTGCACTTAGACACCAGTATGTATTTTACCTGAGAAGGATACAGGTCTGTGTTTGAACAAGCATATGCAGGAATTGTGGTCTTGGCTGAAGAAAGAACATGTCGATGATTTCACTGTTATATCTTTAACCTCACATTGCAATTGCTTTGCTTTATCAGGGCTCAAGCTTTTCTAAGCTTTTTAAGATTATATTTAGAGAGCTCAACTGTGACTGTTTACAGATTTGGAGGTAAATTGCTTTCTGATGAGATTGGACTGGTACAAGTCTAGCTCCAGCAGGGTTGATATATTTAGCCTCTCTTGTTCCTAATTTAAATACTCCTACACTCTTCTGCTTTGATGATATTTGGATCATAGGAGTCAACAGAAGTTTCTGTTTCTCAGTAGCCAAGTATTTTGTAGCAGAGAAATGACTTTTGACTGGGGAAAGAGCTGCTAGGATATAAAGGAAGCATTGAGGTTCTCATGGGTTTGCATGGTTGGATATGGATCTAGAGGAAAAAGATAGGCTTTTCTGAGAGCCTTCACCATCAAGACTTGTTCTATTCTGAGAAGCAGAAGACTTGTCAGTGGTTCATTTGCTAGAGATCTCCTTCCCCCCCCCCCCCCCCCCTTTTTTTTTCAGTGAGGGGGAGGAAAGGGTGTATCTGTCACAAAACCAAGTCCAAAAGTACTTGGTTCAAAATCAAGTTTGGTTATGCAATGCACACACTGATGGCATGAGAGATGTTGTCATTACAGATGAGCATTTTGGTACATGATCAATGCTTCCTGCCCTGCCTCTAATTCCAGCTGCAACAGTTCCTGGGCAATTGCAATCCCACATTTGATCATTTGACAAAATAACCCTCTCAGTTTTGCTTTTCACTGGTCACTGCCGTGCCTTATTATTGACTGAAACATTATTCTACTTCTGATGACATCACAGTCCTCCTGAGGATGATGTCATCATCTCACCTCATAACAAAGAGGTCAAAGAAGAAAGGTAAGAGATGATGTCAGAAGTGTATTCGTTGTGCAACTGTCAGCAAATTATTACAATACTCAGGAACTGTGATGATACAGAAACCAAAATCCCAAAGTTAAAGCTGTCAAACTGCAAGGACCTCAGGGGGACAGATACAAAGCAAAAGCAGCAGAACAATCAAATCTGGCAGGATGTCAAAGTCAAAGGGGGGAGGGAGGGAATGTTTTAGAAATCTTTGCAACTAAGTAACATCTACATATACTTTTAAAAATTGGTATCCAATCAAGCACTTAGAGGCAGATTAAATGCCAGTATTTACAAACTGTGCCTTCAAATGAAGGATGAATTGAAGTAATAGATAACTGAACTTGAAGGAAAAAGGAAGAGAAAAAGTAAGGGGGGGGAAATTCAGTAGCTTATCAGAGGCAGCTGTAGGTACTGTATAAAAGTATCTACTCGTGTTAGGAGAGAAATTCCTTTGTTAGGATGGTGAGATGTTTAATCAGGTAATTACAAAGCCAGTCAAGCTGTTTTTTGATGTTTACACTGGAATAAAACTAGATCAACTCTTAATTTACACTACGTGAGCTACTCTGAGTTTATTACTTATATAAAGAATGTCAGCACTACTCCAGAGCCATCTTTGCTTATGAGTTAATTATAAATTAAAAGCTAAAAGCTTATCTTTTCTATTTACTGAATAATTTTTACATGCACATTGGGCATTCATTAACAGTTGCAGTCATTCATAACCCAGGTCCTGTGTGCCTGAACATCAACCCTAGTTTTATTGGGGGAAAAGCCAGACATTACTGCTAATGCACAATGGTTTGAATGGTTATTTTGCTCACTGGCATCATCTTTGCTAGTAAAATCTAGCGTCCTAAGATAGAATTGAAGGCTTTTTTCCCCCTTGCGTGGACTTACATAATTTTTTATAGGACTCTGTTCTTGGATTTTATTAAACTCTTCTGTGCTTGTCAGCTCTTTTTAAACCCAGTTTTATTAATTTAGAAGTCTACACAACTCAACTTTCTTCATAAGTGTCTTTTCATCGTAACTATGAGCCCAGATCATAGGCTAGAACTCCACTGTGCCAGAACTATACAAACACAGAGTGAATATGTAACTTATAAGGTCTTTGAAACAAGATTCAGAGTTAGGTAATAATGAATTAATGTACATTGACCATTAAAGGAATGGGGAAAAAAATGTCCATAAGCAGGTCCTTCAAAATTTTGTGGACAGTTTTAGATCAAACCTTGGTAAACAAACATCTGTTGACCAATACAATGCCTCCAGAAAGAAACCTGTCAAAGGTGAAACCTTTCAGGAAGAAAACAATAATACTTCAGAACTCCATCATTCCTGAGTGTGTTTTGGAAATGACACTGTGAGGGACTTTGCTCTTTCTAGGGCTACACTCCCTCTGCCAGCTAGTCTGTGGGTAACTCCAGATTATTTTTCAGGAACCATCCCTGACCTGTACTATCCTCCAAACTCTGCACTGGGCTGAGTCAAATCCAGAGCCATGACCATGCTAAGCCCTGGACAATATCAAAGTACTGGTTATGTAGCAGTGCTTGGTCCTCTAGATAGGACTAATTGAGAACAGTTAGGAGCTGAAGTGAAGATTTCAGAATGAGGTGGCAGAGGTTGTTCCAGGGAAGTAATCTGAGGAATACCACTCTGTACACTGGTCACACCATGAATAAGAATAGAGTGAAAAAGCACAGAACGATGGTGCCCTGTTGTTAAAGGAAGCTCACTGTTGCTGTGCAAGCATTTGGCACTTCCCACATCTTGTGTGTATTGTGGCTGTATTTACTCTGCTCTGTAGGAAGAGAAAACATGACCTTGCACATGGAATAATTTTAAATGTAGAGCATTATTCTGTGGGCTATTACATCAAGCAGCAGATGGTTGGACATGATAAGTAGCTAAACACAATACAGTACTTCCAAAAATGAGAACCTAGCTTCTGGATTTCTGAAAGAAGCATGGAAGGGTGGGTGTTGTTGAGACTGCAGAAAGACAGTGTTTTTGATTCAGCATGTTATGAACATATTTTGACTTTAGCATAATAGTAGAAGACCATAGTGGACCAATATGTTAGAGGAGTCCTCCCGCCTAACAAGGATGGTGATGGCTGGAGATTTCCACTCCCCCAGAGGGAACACAATATGGGATTGTATTCTGCACAAATGTGGTGGGCAGAGCACTAGTAGGATCCACAGTCAACACAGATAAAGCTTCTTGTATTAACAGGCATGGGATTATTTACCAACATTTCTCATTGCCCACTGACTGCCCACTGGCAGGAGATTAGATATGAAATGCCTGGGAAATGAAACTGCATTTGTGTATTACTTTCTCTTTGGGAGTAAGTGTACACCTTTCCTTGTCATGCCTGGGCAGGAATTGTCTTCACTGACTTTTCTGTTCTAAACTGAAGTGTACTCATTAGTGAAGCTGTGCAACCAGGAATGGAGGAGAGAACAAGAGTTTAGGATTGGAGTTTTGAGTTTGTACTGGGTCTTATAACTCAATAGCTCTGTCTTAGCTGTACAAAGACTGGCCAACATGGAGAGAGAACTAAGAGAGCTATAGAAGGAAGATGTGTCACAGAAAAACAATTTGAAGGATTATGATCTGGTGATAACCTAAAGATTCCACTAAGATTGCTTTGGAGTGGAACCAAAAGTTTAACAGAAATGGAAGGCTTAATTACTCTGATTACTAATTATTCTTCTCAAGCTTCAGCTGCATGGACATTTTGAGGACTACAACATGGAGATGCTGGAAATCCACCTCTCAAATTTTTTTTTTTTTTTTCAGGCCTAAAACTAACAGAGTGCTTCAATAATGACCTTTTGATCAGGGTTTTTTTGTATTTTTTTTTTGGCTTTTTTTTTTTTTTTTTTCTGTGTAATCTTTGTCATCTTTTATTCCTCCGTGTTACTCCGTTTCCTGTTTATTTGTAATGGACATAGCACCACCCTCTCCTGAGTTCTGTAAGCAAGACTTCAAAAAGGCCTGGAAGATTCCTTCATCAGTTTGTTTTTAACATGGACATCCACTTCCCTTTTTAGCTGTGTAAGGCGGTCAGTGCAAAGAGAGGTTACAATACGGTTTACATAAAAGGAAATCAGTATCAGGTGGAAAAGCTTTATTTCATCGCATTTATTTAAAGCGATAAAGCGTCTGACGCTGACAGACGTGTTCCTGATGGCGATGAATGCCAGGCTCTGGCAGCCCAAGCGACGCCTATCGCGGCCGTGCCTTTGCTTTGCCTGGGCCGAGCGATTCCCTTTCCCGCTCTCCGTTTTTCCCAGCGAGGAACCTGACTCGCCGGCATCACCCCACACCACAGCACCTCGGCTGCGGGATCACCCCACACGAGCGCGCCACGGCCCCGCCCCGGCCCGCGGCGGCTGCGGCAGCTCTGGCCCCGGCGGGCGGGCGGGGCTGGCCGGGTCGCGCTGTGCCCCCGCTCCGCCGCGCCCTCCCCGGGCCCCGCGCTGCCTCCTCCCGGCCCCTCCTCCGGGGCGGCACCGCCGGCCGGCCCCAGCGGCCCCGCAGCGTCCCGCGGCCGCGGCGCGCACAGAGGCGGCGGCGAGCGGAGCTGCGGCAGCCGGCCCGAGGCAGAGGTGGGTGCCGGGGCTCTGGCGGCCTCTGCGGGAGGAGGGAGGCCCTTCCTCCTCCGGCTGCCCGCGGGCAGGGCAAGCAAGGCCGGGAGCCGCTGAAGGCTGCGGGTCCGTCCGGCCTGGGCATCCCGGCGGGGCTCCGGGCGGCTGCCCGCATCCCCTGCCCGTATCCCTGCCCGCCTTTCCCTGCGGAGCCGCCTGGCTCTGGGCAGTGACAGCTGCGCCCGGCTTGATGGGCGCATCGCGGCTGGACACTGCTTTGTGCGCGGGGTTCGAGGGAAGATGTGATGCTTTCCAGGTGTCCCCTCAGAGGGAGGCACCCTGCGTGGGGATCTCGGGTTTGGGTCCGTCCCCCGCCGAGCTGTGTGAGCTGGTGGTGGCCAGTGCCCTTCTATGTGCTGCTGCTTCCCCTTTGGCTCTAGGAATTTTGCTTCTCTTTGCCTGGCAGCTGTTGATGCAAATCGCTGCATTATGCCCCTGCTTCACTAATACTTTCCCTGAGCCTGAATAACGACAGCAGTAACAGGACCGAGGGATTTAATGACATAGCAGAGCCCGGCTCGCAGCAATGCAATGACCACACGGGAAACTAAACTTTCAGATATTTTGTATTTTTTTTTATGTTAACCTCCCCCAACAGTTTTTATTTTTCTTTTGATTAGAATATCTCTTCTACCTTCAAGAAGCAAAACTAAAAGCAAATGTGTCTGGCGGGGAGGAGACAAAACACTGCAATATTGTTACCCCTGTCAAATAGAGGAATTGTGTAGAGGTAGTATCCCAGTTTAGATATTGCAGACCATCTAGCTGATCATTTGTCTTTTCACACGTAAAGTCATAAGCCTTGATGCATCTTTTGACCTCCTATTTGGCTCCTAGTCTGGAGGGTGTTTAGAAATTGTTTAGAAATGGTTTATTTTCTGGATAGCTTTATTTGTGCCCCTGCCTCTGCTATCTCAGGAAACAAACACTGGTAAATGCTTAGTGTAGACACATAAGGTTTTGTTGTCATCAGCGCACTGTTAGAGGTTAGATAGGTGAACTCCTATTGCAGTAAAATGAACCTGCTTCCATGAAGAGAACTGGAGAAAAACTGGGGAGACAGTAAAGGCAATCAGATGGAAAATGCTCAATATAAATATGTTATGATTTTAGGCATAAAGTCATGGAAATAGCTTCTAATAGTTTTAGATGATATCTGCTTTTCTTATAGCTCCAGGTCAATAACACAGATACAGACTACCTGATAATATCTGCTTACCTGATGTAGTAGGGCCTATTTGTAAGGGAGTTGGTCAAGTTTTAGTCTTTGACTCTTTTCCATACCTGAGCATGTGCAGATGCACAGATTTGTTTATCTGTGAACACACAGTTGAAATACAGTAAAAGCTTACTTTAAACTCTAAAAATGCAGAAAATATAGATTAGATATAGAGTGTAATGAACAAATTTGTTTTCCAATCCTGTTGAGAGAAAGCATGCCAAGTCACATGAAGTGTCTGTATAGAGTAGAACTGCTGCTGTTTTTTCACGCTGATTTGTGTTCCCTCACTGACATCAGAACAGTAGCACAGGACAGCACAATACATGACTTACCATATTTTCTCAGCTACTTCAAAAGTTCTTGGTTTCAAGTATCAGTTTGTACTTTTAAATTTGTTGTAAAGTTTGAACTCCTTTATGCAGGGTCAGTCCAAAGGGGTCCAGTCCTTCTGTACATTCCCTCAAAGTGTTTCCATGAGGAGGGAAGCACTGTACAGTTGGGAAGTTAAGGTGCAGTGAGACCAAGGGAAATGTGGTCTCAAGAAGTCTATGGGAAAGGAGTAGACAAGTCTTGAGATACAATTTCAGAACTGCCTGTAATTTCAAGAGGTGGCCCCTTGTGCTGTGCACTGCTGACTCTTAGTTTCTCTCTTTGTTTGGCAATAGCAATTGTATGGGTATGTGGTGAGTCAGATCATCCCACTGATCTAGCTAGAAATTATTTTTTCTGGCTTTAGTGTTATTTTTCAGGGCTGACAGAAGGGCAAGATTTAGGAGAGTGGGGAGGTTGGTGTGGGGACTGTGGTTGTACCCTTCAGCTGGCCTTGAAAGAATTTTTCCTGGACTCTTGGGTACCAGTTTGATACCCTGACTGTGGGGTTTTGGGGTTTGTTTGAATGTGGGGATTCATTGCAGACAAGTTTTGAGTCTTCAGTTTGAATTTTTGATTTTATCTGCTCTCAAGAAAAGACTCTGTCCTTTACAGGGATGTAATGAAGAATTGCACAGAGCAAAGTTTTAACTAGTTGAAATACAGTGCAATACCAGAACCAGAGGAATAGTCATGTCATATTCAAAGTCCATGTCTGTGAGTGGGTGTTTGGAGGGACAGGCAGCTTGGAAGATAAGTTTGACATTTGATCCATTTGACTCTCTGGCTGTTGTAAGAAGTCACAATTTTTGGCACTGGCCTTTGGTAACTTGGAATAGAAGTCAAGTAGTTCCTAATAGAATTAAGCCCAGAATAATCCCAACCCTGAAATATTCTGGAGGTTTGACTGGCAGGGAGCATAGTGCTCTTTACTCTGGAGTAGAGCCAGCCACACACTGAATTTTGCTTTCTGATGTGGGACATACAAGTGAGCTGCACCTGTCTCCCTACTGACCAGATGTACTGTCAGATCACCTGCAGGAATGTGGTCTGTCCCATGCAGCTGGGACTATGGGGAAGTTTGGAACAAATGTGAGTATAATTGGACTTGGTCAGAGTTTGCCCTCCTAATTACAGAACAACCAAAGTCACACTGCTCAGCAGAGTGCTCTAGAGTTCTCCCTCAGCAACTTGTCCCAACTGGGGTGATGGCTGCTTATGGCTCCCTTTCAGGTCATGTGTCCAGGTTTCCTTTCCCAGGAGAAAGGAATATGCAAGGAGAGTGTTTGTCTGCGTCTCACTTGGGTGAGCTGGGCCTGCTGCAGTTGGGATATAGCAACAGTGGTCAATCTGCCTGCAATGGGAGCTGCACCCTCTGAGATAAAAGCCTCAGTAACTTGCCCAAAGTTATGAGGGGATCTTGGGAAAGTGAAGCTCTAAACTGAAGTCTCCCAAAGTCCCATGCAACGTCTTCATGGCTCCTCTAGAAGAAGTAAACCCAGGCTCTGATTTTACTCTGGAAAATGTACAACTTTGGGGTTCTGCCTGGGCACTCACTCAGAAAGGTAGGGTGGGAATTCGTGGCAGTGACTTTAGGTTGGATTGATATAGGAACTCACAAGTAGTTAAGAAAAAGGCTTTTGAGAGTTCTTAATGATTTTCACTTTCCTACCTGAAATGGCTTAAAATACTAAGGGATTTGAATGTGATGTTCAAACAGCATTAGTGACTTTACCGTGTGTTGACAGCTTACTAACAAACAAAAGTACATATTAAAAAAATAGAATGATAATTATTTACAGCTTTTACAGTTAAGAAGTCAACATTACTATGGCTGTTGCATAGACATGAAGGGCAAAGCTTAATTTTGAAAATATTCATCCAGAGAAACTTCATCTGAAATATTTTCTTATCTTCCCTACCTTTTTATCATGAATCTTTTTTAGAACATAATCTCTGAAACTGTTTTTCATGGTAAGGAATATGTTAATAGTAAAATTCCATTAGCTGCAGTAGAGGGATTAAGTGTTCAGCACTGCAGACAAAACTGAATTGTTTCAGAGTCAAGAATAGAAATACTTGATATGCAGTAAAAGAGTGTTCATAAGCACTAACTTTGAAGTATTATAATTTACTTATTTTTTGTAAATGAATAATTTTATTGAAGGGACCATAGTCTGATTCCCAGATAGTACAGTCTCTCAAGCTTTACATCTTCAAAACAGAAACCAAGGGCAGGTGAGGGGACCAGATGGACCAGGTTTGTAAAATTGTCATAGTTTCGGTGTCTGCAGCAGAGGCGCAGTGATGTATTTTAACTGAACACTGGCCCATCAATTTTTATCTTCCCTTCACCATTTCACAACATATATGGAAGTTCTTAGGAGGAAAGTAGATTTGTTTTGTGCTTATGCCCATCACTTCAGCCATAGACCAGGATCTCATAATCATATCAGGTATTAAAAGTGTAGCTGAAATATTTTTCTGTATCTTTTGTGGGGTTTTTTTTGTTTGTGATATGCTTACCATTGCTGTAAACCTTCCTCTCCCGGCCTACAAAACCAGTCCACAATCATACATAGAGCCTTAGACAAGGGGCTGAAAGATGTTGTGATCTTATTGCAGGGGTTCCATACTGTTGTTTCTTTATCACAAAAGTTTCCTACCTTGGTGTTTCTCCTGGGCAGCTCCTCCAAGCACTGACTCTTTCTTCTTCACAAAACAGCCAACTGACCCCAATTCCCTCCTCAACCAGCCAACCCACTCTTTTATAGCACTCTTCTTCTCATTGGTTACAGCTGTGGCCTGGTAAAGTCAGGCCTGTTCCTAATCTTTGATAATTGGCCCACCTGCAACTCCTAGGGGTAAGATTACTTTATATACTACCTTTATTTTCTTATATTCTATCCCCCCATAGAAAGAGACTTAAATGTTGCCAAAGCTCATTGTTGTTGGTGACCAGACCAGGTAGTACCATCTATTATACAAAGCTCTGTAAAGCTTTAAAAGAAGGTGACTGCTTCTCAACTGGCCATGGAGTAGTGCCCAGTCCATCTTAGCTCCTTAGCTGTGCCTTGGAATTGCTGGGAGAGTGCTTATTGGCTTGAGCCTAAAAGAAACAGATTTTGAAATTTACCAGAAGCAGATTTTGAAATTTAAATAGATTCAGTAGAGATGTCCAGGTTGTAATGGTCAGGTCTGTGATGGGATGTGGGTTGATTTGCTGCCTTGGGCACAGGCAGAGCAACAATGTCTTTCCCAAAGGTTGCAGTTGCTTGTCCTTAAGCCAGTCCCAGCAAATGTTTGTCCTGTTTTCAAAATGTTCTGCATTGGAAATTTCATATCTTCCAGAGGAAGTGTGGTTTACTTTTTAATTACCCTTTCAGCATGCCACCTAAATCAACTGTCTGTTTTTAGAGCATGTTGAATAGCACTTGCATCCCTTAGTGAGTTGGATATGTGTGGATATCTAATCTACTATTCATTAATGTTGTGGCACCTGATGAGACACCAGGTATTGCAAAAGGAAAAAAGTTCCTACAATTTTCAGTGTTTTATTTGAAAATTGCAGTAAAAAAAGATGAAATTGTAAGGGGAGGAGCTGAGCTATGAAAAAATCCCCAGAAAAACAAGCAACCAAATCCATGCCACAAGGGCTACTATTACTGGCTTTTCCAGTGGAATGAGGACATAGTCTGGTGTACCTGTATGAAAGAAGTGGATTATTTAGATAACAGTGTGTTTGATCTTACTGTGGCATCCAGCAGAGTGGGACTTTAAAGAATTATTTATTTTGTTAGGTCAATCTTTGCTAAATTAATAAATCAGTTAATAATAAGGGAGATCACCAGCTATTTACTTTTTACGTATTTTTCCACATGATGATAAATTCTGAAAAGTGGCTGCTGTCTTTAACAATCAAAAGAGTTGGAAATTTTCTAGGCTTTCTGGGAGGTGATGCTAGTTAGATTTACATTTAAAATTATACTAGGAAATACCTTTAATTTTATAATAGATGCAAAATGTAGAGCTGTGAAATGTCTTCTGGCAAAGAACAAAACTCAAACCATTTGAGAATCCTGACAGAAGCAGTACAGACTGTTCTCACTTGCATGCTTAGATCAAAGGATTCTGAATTTTCCCAGCACGAAAAAATATTCTGTGCCATGTCCACTAGCATGGTATGAGAGCAAGAGTTTTACTAAACTGAGTATAATGAACAGGAGGCACTGGGGGTGTAACCCATGATGTAAACTCCTGTTTACTGCTGAAGTTGCAGCTGCCTGGTCAGTAAGTGAAAGACTTCTTGGAGTGGCCAGAGTGAAGCATTGCTCCAAAACCACATCCAGTCCCTCTGGGGTTTGAGGAGTATTGGTTTCCTGGAGTGCTGACATGGCATGGATCAGCTTTATATTCAGAGTACAAACTCACAAACCTCAGACTCCAAGCAATCTCAGCTTTGGTTGGCATGTATAAAAGATAGGATAGAGGGCCTGCAGCCATCAGAGTCTAATTTCTGAACTCTTCTCCATTTTAACTACCGCATCTTTTATTCCCTATTCCCTACATTTGAAAAATAAACCCATTTTTGTAGGTTTCTTGGGGAACTGGGGTTTGTGTGATCAGTCTCCCAGTCTGTCTTTGAATTCCACAATGACTTTGTTGCACATGCCAGGTCCAGCCCAGCTTGAGAGGAATGTCCACTACCAGCTCACAGGTGGAATGTGACACTTTTGTGAAGTGTAAGGGATAAGAGATTTCCACTGTATGGAAGCAAGCTGTGCTGAGCTGTTTGGCCTCAGAGCTTGTGGATGCTGTCCAACTTTTCTAATTTGTGAGTATGAAAATAATCTTTGTGTCCAACGACAGGGCAGGCAGAGTAGCTAAGACTTCTTGTGAGCAAGAATAGTTGCAAAATGATCTGTTTAGGATTTTAGGAGCCCAGCTAGTGTAACTTGTGAAGAGGATGTGTGAGTCCTCATGTTTGGATTGTCTGCCCAGAACTCTCCCAGACAGTGGGGGCTTATAATAAAGACTGTCCCAGCAGCTCCTTCTCTGCCAAGGGAGTCATGGCTGTTTTGCACCTAGAAGTTTTGTTACTTCAGCAGACCAAGCATTAACTGGGGTGAACTGTGCTGTGGAATTTAGACCCCAGCTGTAGCTGTATTTGCATTTAATTTAGCTCCATAAGAAATGTGTTTGTTTTTGTGCTTTAGGTTGGAAAAATCACCAGTAAAAACTGAAGTATTTTTCCACAGCAAAGGGGTAATTTTAAAAGTTTGCTTATGTCTGTCACCCTGGAGGCTGAACTTTGATTTGTGCCTGTGTTATACCAACTTTTTTAAGAGTTCACGCCAAGGCAGTTAGGGGGCTAAGACCTTATGACTTAGAAGCAGAGGCCAAGAGAATTAGTTTTATTTATTCTTCAGAACACTCAGTTACTTTTTGGGGGGTATAGAGGAAACAGCTGGGATATTAGAAGCGCACAGTGGTAGGACAAGAGGCAGTGGCACAAGCTGCTACAAGGGAAATTCAGGTTAGGTATCATGAAGAAAAGGGATACATAGGATCAGGAGAGCAGAAAGGCTGAGAAACCTCCATCCTGAAGACACTGAGGACTCTGCAGGACCAAGGCTGTGGGCAGCCTTGGGCAGATGTTTGGACCAGGTGACCTTTAGAGGTCTGTTCCAGCCTGTTCTGTGACACAGCATAGGGTGTGGTGTGAGTTTCAAGTGCTGTTCCCTGTGAAACAGCTTGCCACTAGATTTGCATTCAGGAAGGTGATGTTTCTAGTGTATAACAGGAGCCCAGAAGTGCTGATTCCAGTTCAGTGCTGGAGAAAGGAATATAATTGCCATGAAGTTTTTGTGTATTGGTTTTTCAGTAGGTGGCACTTTCTGGATGCCTGAATTGAGGGCTGTGCAGAAACAGCCCTCACTTCTCCAAACACTATGTAGGGATTATTCTTCCATTAGTAAACATCTGTCCTGCTTTTGGCTGAGATAGAGGTTTCTTTCTAGTAGCTGGTATAGTGCTGTTTGGGATTTAGGATGAGAATAACGTTGGTAACACACTGCTGGTTTAGGTGTTGCTGAGCAGTGCTTACACCGTGTCAAGGATTTTTGGTGGCTTGTGCCCTGCCAGTGGCAGGGCTGGAGGAGCCAGCTTGAGAAATTGTGAGGGGACACAGCCAGGGCAGGTGATCCCAGCTGGCCAAAGTGATATTCCATACTGTAGACCATCATGCTCAGAATATAAACTGGAGGAGGAAACTGGCCATGGGCTGCTGCTTGTGGAATGGCTGGGAGCTGATCAGTGGGTGGTGAGCAATTGCACTGGACATCACTTGCTCTGTATGTTGAAATTCCTTTGTTCTTTTTATTATCATTTATTATTACAATTTCTATTACTTTCTCTCCTTTCTGTCCCATTAACTGTCTTTATTTCAGCCCATGAAGTTTATCACTTTCACTTTTCTGGTTCCCTCACCCATCCTGCCCAGGATGGGGAATTGTTGTGAGTGAGTGGCTGTGCAGTGCTTTGTTGCTGCCTGGAGTTAAACCACGACAGCATCTTGTACACTGAATACTTAGACAATTGGGAAAAAAAATAATTTAAAAAACCAGATTTTTTTAAAGTTAGTGCCTAGTTTTAGTCTTCATCTTTTTGTGGTTTCATTCCCCAGCTGTCAGATGGGGAAACCGTGATTGCTTTTCAGGGACAGTGTAGTGATGACTACCATAAATAATTCTTCCTTCAGAGCACAGTTTGTGTCCTGACCCGTGTATTGCAACAGAAGCAGAGAAGCAAAGCCTCAGTCCACACAAAGTAGAGGGACTTTTGAAAAAAAACAGAGGTGTACATTAGTTAATCAGAACAGCAATGCATGGAAGAAAATTGCCTTAATTGTAGCATTTCCTAAATTTCTTATTTTTTTTACTCTAGTGCTTTCATGGTATTCTTTAAATGGTCTTTTGTTTATCACTGTAAATCACAGTTACATTTGGAGCCATTTTACAGCATCTCATACATCTTTTTTGTTGTTTATGAAGGGACACAGCTGAAAGAGTGTCTATTGTAGCAGATGCTGATGCTGTGCAGTGGCTGTCTCAGGCTCTGAGCTCAGTTCTGTTCTCATTACCCTCAATGGGAGGGAGTTTCAGCATTGCCTGCCCTGCAACTGTTACTTTTGTTGATGTCCAGGTGCTGTAGTACAGCCTAGCAAAGAACTTGTGTGTGAGTCTTATGCTCTATCCTGTGTGCACAAGGACTTTGATGAAACTAGTGTCTTGGAATCTGCAAGAGGGGCTGGAAAAATAGTGAAAACAATAGACACTGGAAGTGTTTAAAACCTATGCTGTTCAGGAAGGTATCTGCTTAAATTCACCCATATTTTGAGAGCCACTGAAAGACTTTCTTATCTTTTAAACATGTCTAAATATGCATTTTAGTAATTTCTGGGGAGCTAAATATATTGAATAGGACATGTATTAATAATGTGGAAGCAGCAAACAATGCTAAATAAATGTAGGAGCAGGGGAAGTAAAGCAAAGCACTTCAACCATCAACATAAGTGTAATTTTTAATAAAACTGCAGATATTGTTTAAAAAGGCTGTTTGAAACAAGAACAGTAAAGTTGAATTAGGAAACAGTGTTCAACCTTAATGCATAACTTATATCTGAATGCATTATAATAACCTTTTAATGGGAGAAATTGCTGTAAGATGAGAAAATAGACTTTGCCTTTAGTGTGGTGCAAAATTAGATATGCTCAAAGCTATTCACTTGCCCTTCATTTAAAAGCCTGTGGAAATACACAAAAAGAGTATTTCTGGTGTTGAGGCCACAATAAATGTTAGGAGGAGATGTTATTCTGGGAGTAATGTTTTTCTCCTCAGAAATAACTGGAGTCATTTGAGCTTCAGAGTCTCAAAGTTTGACAGTGGTTTTGAATTGAACTGATTTTAATGAACTTTTGAAAGTTGTTACAATTTTCTGACTTAAGAGGTCCCTTTTGTGTTTCAATAGCTCTCTACAAACATGCTGTGAATAAATTAGGTGGGGAATTCTGATTCTGTGCAAAATTGTTAATTTGTGAAACAGGAGAATACCCCACTGCAGGATTCTCTATCTCTTAAATGTCTCCAGAATATAAAGCAGGGATCAAAATCCAATTTGTCGCACCTTTTGCCTTTCAGGTCCAAACCATGAATTACGTTGGGCAGTTAGCAGGACAAGTGTTTGTGACTGTGAAGGAGCTCTATAAGGGTCTAAACCCAGCCACACTGTCAGGATGTATAGATATAATTGTGGTACGTCAGCCAGACGGAAATCTGCAGTGTTCCCCTTTCCACGTTCGCTTCGGGAAAATGGGAGTTCTGCGCTCCAGGGAGAAAGTGGTAAGAAAACGTGACAGTTTTTATATGTCCTGTCTGTGAGTTAACTGTAATAGCATGGAAGTTACTGAAGTTCTTTGGTCTGCTAGTTGAGGTTTTCTTTAGACACCCTTTATAAAGAGCCTGAATTAAGACAAGCTTCAGTTAAAATGGTTGTTACTGATTCTTGCAGTTCAGAGCATAATTTGTAAGACATTGGCTATAATAAAAAGCAGAACTAGACATGAAATTTATAATATTTATGTTTAATAAAGCAAAATTTCAAATGTGCTAATTTGAAACTGTACTAGATTTCATTAGTGACTCACTGAAACCCCTTTTTTAGTTCAATGATATGTTCAATGATAGTTCCAAAAAGGGAGATATTAGTGAAGTAGTATTTTCAGATAATAGAACCTTGAGGTTAATTGAAGCTAGAAAAAAACAGTGAGGATCTTGAAATAAAAGTAACTAGGCTGAGTGGCCTGCTAGTGTATCAGATGTGAAGTTACCAGTGTGACAGATTATTTTAGAAAGTAATTTTTCACTCAGTAGAGTCTAGGTTCTAATGTGGCTAGAATTTTCAGCAGAAAGATCCTAAAGTCAGCATGGATATTGTTCAATTCTTACTTAGATCAGAAAGAAATCCCAATATTTAGAATTGGTAAATGCTGAAAGACATTACTGTGCCAGCGATGTACTGTGTCCTGAAATAGACTTGTAGATTTGTGCAAGTCTCCAAAAAATTTACAGTGAAAATGGAGTTACTGGCAAGCATGGTTATAGTCAAAGAGAGAGATCTTCCTGAGAAGAAATGGAGATAGTTAGGGCTGTACAGTGATATGATAAATGTGTGTAAGGAATTTTACATTCAGGAATTGAATGTAGAGTTATTTTTCTCATTTGTGCTTCTCATAGTGTAAAGAGAAGTCTCTTTAAGGAATTTGAAAGACAACATAATAAGATAACATATTAATTTGCATTTGGAAGTACTTCTAGCACAATTAAAAAATAGTCTATGAATTTAAGGAGCAAATAGATTTGTTTGGCAAATGAAGTATTCAGAATTGCATTTAAAAAGATTCAGAACTTTATGTATTGACTATAAACCTCTCTGAGTAGAGGAGCAAGGTATCAATGAGCTGAACAAGTTGGAAAAACATTTTTGTAATTGATTGCTTTGTGAAGGAGTACTGAAAGAAAAAGAGTAGGTCAATATTTCCTTTTTAGTGTAATGTTTCCTACACTTCCCTGAGAAGCATTTGCCCAGTGCCAGCAGTAGGACTAACTTTCTTTTCATATAGGAATGTATTTATTTCTTTCCAGGTTGATATAGAAATTAATGGAGAGGCTGTAGATTTGCACATGAAACTGGGAGACAATGGGGAGGCCTTTTTTGTGCAGGAGACAGATAATGATCAGGTAAGAGTGAAAATTACTTTTAATTCATTAAAAATCTGATGCTGGCTCTTCAAAGTCAGTTTTGATTTAACAATCTTGTTGAAAAATATGCTTTTATCCATTTTATAGTTTTGAAAGTTTCTGGAAAATATTCTGCTATGGAAATTTAATGCTTTGCTGTTACTTTAGGGCTTTTTTTAATTTCTGAGATTTGAAAAAGCTGAAGATAATCACATGAGTGAAAAGTAAATAATTTGCATGCCAGTGTGTGAACAGAAATGGCAACGACAGAGTTCACATGCTTCAAAGTTGTGTGCAAGAGATTAATGTCCAGGAACCTGTTTTTTTCAGAAATCTTTAATTTGAACATATGCACCAGAGTGCCAGTAAAAGTGCACATGCTCTGTAAACATCTGTGCACACATTAATTCTGGTGCTCCTCATAAACATGATCTCACAATTATTATTCATGTGGGGCTATATTTAAATGAGAATATCTGCTGTTGAGCTGTGGTTAAATACTGGTCCAAATCAATTATGGTCACAGTAACTTTGAGTAGTCCACATGTAATGTAATGTAAAAAAACTTTTGCAGGCATTTTTCTTCATATATCCCAAATAATTTTTTTCACTGTCTGGAGTGGATGAGTATTCAAATTTCTGTGCTGAGTATGATATTATCAGTTTCAGGTGAGATTTTGTGAATGTGCATCTCTGTACTTTTAAAATTTTTGTGTGTTGAGTTATTTGGTGACTGAAAACTGCTGGAAATACTTCCATGAATATCTAGAGATGTATATATATGATTGAATAGTAGGGTGTTTGTGTGGCCTAATTACAAACCATTGACCTTTCTGACTGCTGTCATCTGTGTTGTGAAGGGGAATTGTATTTTACAAAATGTTCAGGTTCTAAACTAAGATTTTGTTTCTGCTCTGTACCTTACATAAGGTGGACAGAAATGTATGCTGTAACCTGGCCATATTAGATGCTCAGAGGATGCTGTATTAAGAGTATTGTCCCTGGTTTGTCTAAGGAGATGCAGCTATGGAACAACTTCCATATGCCATAGGAGCATAATGAGCATCCAATGTCAAATCCTTGTTATTTTTCCGAGGAGTAAATGACTAAAATTTTGGTAATTTGTGCGTAGGTTGCTGGTTGTATGAGTGGTGAAAGAGCTAGCATGTTTTATGATTTGAATTTTTTCCTTTTCAGGAGGTGATTCCTTATCATCTCTCCACATCTCCCATTCTGTCTGAGGGGACTGCCTTAATGGAATCCCAGCTGAAGTGGAATTCCATAGACAGGATACGAAACCTGGACACCAATGCATCCTCACAAGTCCCACCCCAAGCCCATGGATCCCAGCCTTCTACTGAAACATCTCCAGTCTGTAGCTCTGTGAAAAAAAGGAGGAAGAAGAGGAGGAAGTCAACTCATAAAATAGACAGCTTAAAAAGAGAAGACACACATGGGGACACATCAGAAGATGAAGACATGTTTCCCATAGAGATTAGCTCTGAGGAAGAAAAAGAGCCATTGGATAATTCAAGGTATCATAGTGGAATTGAGATATTTAATGAAAACCTGGGTTAATGTTCCAGTCCATGCCTTCTAGCAGTAATTTCTAAGTCAGGACATATGGCTGATGAAGGTGTTACTTGAAAAATAAAGCTTTAGGCTAGAAAGATATTGGGAGTGTTAGTAATTAAAGTAATGAAAATGACATTAAAAACATAAGAATTCTCTGTGGTGTTGTGAACTAGATGGTTTGAATCAGATAACATTTCTTTATCTCCTTTTAGCTCAGGTTGTACTAACTTTTCTCTGCCATAGGGTTTGTTAGCTGAGGTCTATGAAAATTCAGTAACCAAATGTTTTTTAAATGTCACTTCTTTCCCCCTGTTTAGGATCCCTGTTCCAGATGTGTTTGTTGATGATGTATCTGACACAAAGGCTCCTGCAGTTTCTGTGCTTTCTCAGTCTGCACCTTACGCTCATTCAGATGGAGAATGGTCACCTCTAAAAAGGTACTTTTTTCTGATAGTACAGTTCCAGATATTACCCTTATTCTAATTTTTCCATTAGTGTCTTCTATGCAAGTACTATATGAAGTCTCACTAAAGATTTGGATATCAAACATGGTCAGTGACCATTATTAGATGAGTACTTCTGCATTTTCAATAAGATAGCCTACCAAAACATCGGGTTGGCTTTGTCCTGGATACAGCAAATGCATACATAAAAATGCAGGGCCATAAATTCTGAAGAATATTTTTGTCTGTTAATGTCACTGTTGGCATATTAATACTGTAGAGAGGAGTTATGTTTTATGCAATCTGAATGTTTGCCTGATGCACACACTCTGTAAGGGCTTCAGTGAATGTAGGTTTATAAGTCTTCAGTATTTCAAGTGTAATCCTTTTAAAAATTTCCCAGGATAGGAGTTAAAGATATTTTTGTTAATGAATATGAGTGTTTCATGTTGCTTTTAATATAGATTTGATATGTTTACTGTGTGAAAAGAACATATACAGTAATTTGCTTACTTTTTCCTGTATGTGTATTTATATGCATGTGAATACCTTTCATGTCAAAACAGAGCAGTTTGGACCTTCCTTTTTGTGTCTGTCAAAAAGGGAAAGTTTTTGCTCAATGCATTGCACTATAGTTCCAGTTAGGTCTGTGTGTGTGTGCCCCATGCACATGTGCTCCACATCCCCCATGCAGACTGCTGGAGTGCAACAATATTCACAAGACCTTGTCCTAACAAGTCTTACCTCAATATCCTGCCTCTGTAGTTGAGGGGCAGAGGAAGGGAGTGTGGGGAGATTATTTCAGGGCAATGGCTAAATGGAACTGCTTTGAATTGCATTCTGGAAGAAACATTGTCCAGTGCCTGTAAAGCTTAATGTGATTGGCATCACCAGGCTGCTGATAGCATTTGTCAATACCCTGCCCTTTTGATGGCTTTTGGAACTGTGTGTTCTGTTTGTTTCTTGATTGTAGTATCCTGGGTTTTGAAAACTCTCAATGTAAAGTCAGCATTTGTGTAACTAATACACAAAGAGTTTGTTAACTGGCCCTTGTGAGTATAATGACACCCTGTCTGTCTTTCTCCCCACATGCTCTGCTGCCCAGTAAGGCCATAGATTGTAAAGGGCAAACCACTCTCCTCACTGTTCCAGCAGATGGAGGCCTATCTAACTCTTGTCCTCAACAATCTTCTCACTTTTCTCTTCCAGACAGGTAGAACAGTTGTCCTCCCTCTTTTCTGGGCTGCTTTTTAATGCTTTTAACACTTTATTGCATTTTTGCCACATTAAGACTATGTGAACTGCTGTTGTATTTATAGCTGTACTTATTGCTAACCTGGACATTTGAAAGTGACATTGGAAACCACTTTCTCTGCTTGCTTCTTTGTGTGCATTGAGTAGCAGTAATGATGAACCATGTAGTACCTTGATGAACCATCCATTGAGAGAATGGCTGAAGCACAATTATGTCAGTGAAAGCCTGGGTTAAAAATCAAGTTTATTAAGATGATAAAACCCCCCAAAAGGAAGAACTTAGTGAATTCATTCCTCTGAAGACTGACATTTCCACATATCTTTTAACAATCAGTGTATATTTTGATGACATTTTTATCCTATGGTTTTCCTGAGTTGTTTGCTTGTGCATAGATTCCTGAAAGCAAAACAAAAACCTCAAAGAATAAGTGAGCAATAAAAAATGCAAACCTTGTAATGGGAGGAGCCCCGTGCCAAAAGAAAACCCTCTCTAGGCCTTTGCAGTAGTGTAGGATTCCTCTTTTCCACAGAGCTAAAAGTGGATACAGAGGCTTTCTGTGTTATTTTAAATTCAAGAAGTCTCAGGATTCTGCAGTCAAGCTCTTTCACTCCATTAAGTCAGTGGAGAGAGGTCACAGAAACGTTAAAAATTTAAAGTAGTAGAATATGACCTCTACAATTCTCCATTAATGCTGGGAAAGCTTTGAGTAATACATCAGGCTAAATTACTCATTGCTTATATCAACATAGTTGCCATACTAGGTGCCTAAAGCTGTATCAAAATTGATAATCTTGAGGTTTTCCCAGTTTCTAGGTCTGCCTTCTTTAACCTGACCATGTTGCAGCACCAAGTCAAAGTGAGATCCTGGGATGTTCAAAACTGTTCTCCGTAGCATGTTCTCATGACAAGGAAGGGCAGGAGCACAGGTTAGGATGGAGCAGTGCTGTGCTCTGGGTGGCTTAATGAACTTTGTTCTGGAATTCAACTGTCTCACAGACTAGACAGACATTTAAAGTGCTGTAGCAACTTGTCTGATTGAGGCTCTGTGTTTGCAGCTGTTGAAATAAGAAATGCTTGGTGGGTCTTTCAGCAATTTTTTTTCCCTTTGTGAAGTAAGGAATGCTATTATGGCCACCTAAGAGGTGCTTCACAGGCTCTCAGTCATTGCTGTGACATGTGCATGATGTAGGCCTCTTTCCTTCTGATCATCTTTTATCACAGGTACCATTTGTCACACAAGACTGGGCTTTTTCTCAGGTCATATTGCTGCTTTTTCAGGTATCTCTTTGCTTCCAGTGCAAAACACTGCAAAGATCATCGTAGTCTATTACTGCAGAACTGCCAACTACAGGCCATGTTCCTTGTTCTTTGTCATTAGATTAGATTAAGTGCAATAATAGCTGTTAAAGAATATATAGGACTGTGATACAAATATTCAGCATCTGTGGGATGTGAATCAGAGATGCTGATCTAAATACCTGAAGTTTCCCTTCCTTCTTGTGCACTGTTGACAGGATGGGTGGCTCTGGTTTGATCTGCAGTATCTCAGCAATCTGTGCTGAGGCAAGGCAAGGCAATTTCAGCTGGGCTGAGTCAGTGCATAACTTAAGGACACAGGAACTGCAAGACACAGTTCAGCCCAAGGCAAACCCAGACCATTGGGCAGCAGTTGCAGCAAGAACCTTCACAGAGCAGAGCTCTGCTGCTTTAACATACCCACATGTGTGAGTGCTTTAAATACCCAAGTGCATTTCTGTACTTTCATTGTCTGAGATTAGAAATCACAGTGCTGAGTAACAGCTCGGGCTCTTCCCCACTCAGCTGTGTATAAGGGAACTGTATTTTCAGGGAAAATTATGGAGAAGACCATGTTTCTTCCACCCCAAATCTGTTTCTTACTGCAAAGTGCAGAGGTTCTACCCAAGCTGAAGCAATAGCTCTGTTCTCTCAGGGTGTCTGAGTAAGTGAGCTTGGGCTGAACAAAGACAGATTGGAGTTTTTTCTAGTTAAATAATAGGTATCTTGGAGGTTAAAATGTTTTGTAGTGCACAGGTTAAGAAAGATATGAAGTGACAAGGCTTCTTTAAACCTAGATATTTTAGGCTTAAAGCAGCAGTAGGAGCATTAATGCCTACTGAGATTTTCTGAAGTGCGCAGGCTACTGATTTCCCAGGTTTCAATGGCCTCTAAATATGGAACATACTGCAAATCCTACAAACTTTTCAGTGGAAGATTTAGAAGTTGCTTAAAAACCCACTAGGCAATTTTTTAATCCTTAGAGCTTGAAAATACTTCTAAAATTACATTGTATTGATTCCTTCGTCTGTCAAATTATAGGTTATACCCTGAGGACGGATAAGAAATCGAAATTCTTAGGCCCTAAAAAGATGGCTTATAAATTTTATAATTTAATTAGGTAACATAAATATCTGTAGCTAAAATGTCCTAGTGTCTGTCCATATTCAAAGCGTATTTTACTGCATAGTTGAAAACAGTGAATACTGTAGATAATTAAGTTGCTGTTATTTCAGATGTGAATGTGAAGTAATTTTGGTGTGAACAGTGAATTCCCTGCCAGCTGGCTCTACAGAACATTGAAAAAGGGAAACTTCCTAACACCTTCTAGTAGCTAAGAAGGGGAGAGCTTTTCACTCGGGCATGTAGGGACAGGACAAGGAGCAATGGCTTTGAGCTGAAAGCTTGGACTTTTGGCAAGAAATTCTTCACTGTGAAGGTGTTGAGGCGCTGGAACAAGTTGCCATGAAAATTTGTGGCTACCTCATCCCTGGAAGCGTTCAAGGCCAGGCTGGATGGGGCTTTGAGCAACCTGGTTTCATGGCAGGGTGATGAGACTAGATATAATGAAGACATAACAAACCATTCTATGATTTTACCTTTACATAAATTCCTCATGTTTGATTTATTCTTTATCTTTTTCTGAATATACTGAATATCCACACCAGTTTGGCTTTTTCATAGAACTGTAGAATCACAGAATGATTTAGGTTGGAAGGGACCTTAAAGATTATCTCGTTCCAACCCTCCTGCTATGGGCAGGGACATCTTCCACTAGGCCAGGTTGTTCAGAGCCCCATTCAGTCTGGTCTTCAGGGATGGGAAGTTTATAGCTTCTCTGGGCAACCTGTTCCAGTTCCTCACCACCCTCTCAGATTTTTGTCCACAAAAACCCTCAAGTAATTCTTCCCAGGGCTGCTCTCAGTCCATTCTCTGCCCAGCCTGTATTGGGATTGTCTCGTCTCACGCATAGCGCCATGCACTTGGCCTTGTTGAACTTCATGGAGTTAGGCACTTCATGAGATGGAAGCCTTTTGTTTTTAAAAATGAAAGTAACTCAATCTGCATCTTTGATTTAGGAATGTTGTGGATTCTTTTGCTGCTTTTTGTTTTTAAATCAGGATTGGATGAGTATGCCGAGACAGGTTATGGCTCAGATAAAAAATGTAGGCTTTGTTCAGGAGGTTCTGGGGGAGATTCTATGACCTGTGTTATGCAGAAAGGCAGAGCAGATAATCTGAATTTTTCCTTCTGTCCTTGAAATCAGTGATTCATTATTTATTAATGACTGACTTGACATCACGTTCTTGATTTGACCACATTAAAAATATGCTATAAGCTGATAATTCACTAATTAATTTATAAATATTTATTATCAAGTAATTATCAAAACAAACTGTTGAATGTTTCAGCTGAAAGGGCTCAAATTCTTTCTGTAGCTCTGCTGCTTATTTCCTTATAAACATCCATCCAATGATTGAGCTGAACAAGTTAGAAAGGAGTCAACTGGATTTCTGAGATTAAAGTATTACTTAGTCAGGATAAGATGTCTTGTGGATGTGAGTAATTTCTGCACTTTGCATACATTATTCATTGCTGCTGCTGCTGGCATCACCTCCATTCTTTTTACCATGCAGAAAACGAAAAACCTCCTGAAATCAGGTCCAGTGTTCTTGATTTATCTCTTTCAGCTTCTCAAATACTACTTCTCTGACAGCACTTACTGAAAAGGGGATGAGACCTCCGAATGTCAGTGTAAGAGGATTGTGAACTTTTAAACTATTTTTTCTATGCTTTCATACCTTCAGTTGGCACTTGATTATTTCAGTCTTTCAGTCTTCAATTCCTTGTATTGGTGGGCATCAATTTGGAAGGCACTCAGTGCTTTGTGGTTACTTTTGCTTTTGTGACATTCTTTGTTTGTTTTTTCTTTAGCCCATCAGATTCACGTCCTCCTACTCCTCAAAGTGACTCAGAATTAGTCAGTAAACCTACAGACAGAAGTGGACTGAAGGATAATCCCCACATGCACTGGGCATGGGGAGAGCTACCCCAGGCTGCAAAGGTATCCAACATAAGTTGTTGAATTCCTGCTAGCATCTCTCGTGCTTTAATACGGCTTGTATGCTTAATCTACTGCAGACTGATGAAGAGGAAATGGATCCTGGTTTTACCTAAAATTAGAGTGTTTTATGTAAGGTAATTGAATCTTACTCCATAGAAGGTATAGGAAAGTACCTTATGGCATGGATATTCTCAATACTGATGATATACAGTAGAAAATGAAGAAGTAACTGAGACCCAGTCTTTTAAACATTAGTAGCTTAAAAAACAGAAAAAATCAAACCCAATGTCCTTTGGTAAATCATTCAAATTCATAAATTATCTTAAACGGAAATTAGGTGCCTGGTATTAGCAGTCATATTCACAGAAATGAAAATGGTCTGCTTCAGTATGAAAGTATCCAGAGACACCTGCAGTTCTGTATCTGTGGATGTGCAGACATGCTGTTCTCTTGGCTGATAGGACTGGCTTGGTGCCCGTCTCCTCCTGGAGCCATTTGTCCCAGTTAGGTGAGGGATCTGTAGCCAGCAGCCTTATTTCCAGCGCTGCACAGAAACTGTGGGCAGCTGCCCACACTGCAGGCTGGTCAGGTGCTGGCTGGCTCCTTGTGACAGCTCCTGAGGAGTCACAGCATTCACATTAGAGAATGCACGTACACCAGGGTGTGAGAGGTAGAGGTCAGGTTTCAGTGGAGTACTGCAACTATGGAGGCTGGGATAGTGCAGAGTTTGGCACCTCCTGCTGAAGGCTGGCTTCTCTGCAGAAGGAGCTGCAGGAGAGATGGGCTTACACACAGTATTAAGAGGAAAAATTGCTGCTTTGCAGGCCAGGGAAGTGGGCATCCTGTTCAGAAACACTTCTATGTTCTGGTAATGGCACCAGAATTATAGTGGCACTATTGTAATTTGTTGTAATTAATTCTCTGTTGGTAATTAGTGAAAAAGAGAGTGGGAATCCAGAATTTGTAATTTCTTTAGAGGAGCTCTGGCCTCTTCTTTTAATATATCAGGTGTCTCATCTCCTCTGCACTAGTCTCTTCCCTGTGCACATTACAAGAAATTTGGGAGCTATTTTCTGTTGCATTGCACTAAGTAGTTTATTAGTTGTTTTGCACTGGGTTCTGTATTAATACACTGATAAGTATATTTGAATCCTCATGGGATTCTCCCCTGATATCACATGGTGTTTCCCTCCCCCAAGAAAGCCCCCGTGGAAATGGTTTGTCCCAGATTTACTCCTCCCCTCACCCCCTCCTCACTTGTATCCCATTGGCTGTGGCCCCCTTCCTCCTCCCCCTTTCCCCTGTGCTTAAAATCCCCAGGGAGGAGATCCCTGCCTGCTTTTCACGTGGGAAGTCGCCTGGACCTCCTGGTGTCTCTTGTTTAGGAAATAAAATAGGACTTTGTTCCCAAGAGGAAAAGAGCGCTTTCATCTTCTGCTTTTATCCTATGTAGGATTGTAAGGGCTAAGGTCCATAGCTAGCTGGATTGGACCTGAACAGCCCACCAGGATCAATCTCAGGATTTTCTGCTCAAAGAGAACTGATATAAGTGCCTGGGTCCATGCAGGAGTTCCAAATTGGCAGTTGCAGTCTAGAATGGAGGGTTTCCTGCTAGGAAATTTAGATCTTTCCTGTAGCAGTCACACACCCTGGTGTGTACAGCAAATCTTACTCCCAGAGGCTTTTCTCTCTGCAGTCTCTGTCTCTGTCCCAAGCTATTCTGATCTTGTCATACCTGAACTGGGAGTCATACTTTGGCTTTGAACTTCATGTTTGTTTGTTTGCTATGACATGAAGGTTATAGCAGCTGTTCTGCTGCTGCTGTAGTTCGGCTCCTCTCTTTGCCTCTGTAAGAACACTTTCTGTCCCACACTCAGAGAAAATATGGAATTGATCCTATAAAGTGATTTAAATTTGAAATCTGGGGATTAGACAGTGTCCTGGTGCCTGAGACCATTTTGATTTTGCAAGGACTCCAGTCTGCACCACCTTCTCTTGTTTGTCAGGTTTGCCTTCTAAGGGAAAGGAGCCAGGATTTTCACAGGAAGAGAGGAAGGCAGGGTGAGAGGTGGGATTTGCAGGTAAATGGAAAATGAAGACTGTAGAGCACATTGCAGAACAAATTATTCCTGGCCTCGAGATGCAAATGAATTTTGCACAAACACAGCAGAGAGGTCTTTTGCATATTGTAGTCTCTATCTCAGTGGTGGCTTTCTGCTGTAGTTGGTCATCCTGGCAGTCTGATCTCATTGGAGTGAACAGAACAGGTTAAACTCTGGTTGTTGTGTTTTTTAAGGGCTTTTCTTTGTAGTGATCTGTTAATTTTTCCTCACAGGCCAGTTCTCTACTCAAACCAAAGGAACCCAGCATGGCAGATGTAAATCCCTCTGAAAGCACTCACTTTCGGGTCATCCAAAGTTCCTCTGTTGAGGAGTTTAACACAGTGTCTCCTCTGCCTGCCCTTGGACAAGCAGATGCAGCAATTGCTGGTGAAAGTGAGCCCTTATCAGCTGAGACAAATAAGCCAGAGACAGAGCTGCCAGGAGCAGCTGAACCCCCATTGCCTGCAACCGAAGAAATAAAGCAAGCTGCAGCTTGCTCAGCCCAACCGACTGGCAAGATGGATTCCCCTTCCAGAAAGAAAGGTAAAGGTGTTGATCCTGCACTTTTCTATGCATGACTTTATCTTCACATTTCCTGGTGATAAAGCATCTTATTGCCATATAAATTAATCCATGGCCTGAAGGCACTTTCAGATCAGAAAAGGAATAAGCCTTCAAAACCCGAGTTATGCATCAAGCTGTTCACATGAGATATGTATTAGAAGATTCTGAAGGTCTGAAGTTGTTTGCAGCTCCGTGCATTTGAGCAAGACTACAAAACTTGCTCCATTTGACAGCTTCTGGGATTTCACTTTTGTCTATTAGCAGACTGTAGACTTGCTGGTTCACCCAAGTGATGTGTGGCTGGTAATTGTGGAAACTCTGCTTTACTGCAAAGTTGTAGTATGTCTTTTGCATAATGAGCAGATTTGCCATAAAATAAGGTGCTTTTGTTTTACATGCTTTTCAGTTTTATGTGGTACATATCCTGTCCTGAATATGTGAAATTTAACTTAATCTATCCTAATTTCTGGGCTCTATTTCCATGGTATTTTATAACAAGTGAACAAGTGTTACAGTCTTCACATGATATTTATTTGCTTACAAATGTTCTGTTTTAGAGCACTGATTATAATTATTCCATAATTATGTAAGCTCTATGTAAGCCTAGTTTTGCAGCTGCTTTTTAATCAGTAAACATACAAATTTCTTGGCCTCTTCCCCATGCATTCCACTGTCTTTGAAAACAAAAAATGATGTGTTTCTCTGCTTACTATTCAGTGCTTGTGTAGATTTTCTGATTGCTTTTGTGATGCTTAGTGTTGGAAATTGAGACAGTGAGAAGTTGTGGGTTTGAGAATGAATCCAAATTAGTTTTTGACCTTACAGTGGTTACTTATCTAGATCTACTGGCAACAAGAGGACAGTGGTTGGTCCTAGTGACAGACCTAAAAGGGGTGTGTTGTCCCCTACAGTAGTGCATGTGCACACACAACACATCAGCTGTATGTGCTTTAAAGTGAGTTGTCTCCATAACGTGCCAGTTATAGTGTGTTAGTGACTATATTTTAGTCTGTTGTTTCCCTTTTTCAAGGAGAGGTGTAAGATTAGTTAATCAAAGATTAAATGTTCTGACTGCCATACTGTGGTAATAGGCCTATGCAAATACTTAAAAGGTTTTCCTTTTGCTGTTTTCCTCTGGTGACCACTGACTTCTGATTCACAGTAGTTTTGTCTGGGATAGGGAGTCTTTGGCATGTCTCAAAACTAGTCCTCTGCCGTCCCATTTTGTTAATTCATAGTTTGCACAGTGTATATAAATTACTTGTTTTGAGATTTTTGGCAGTATCATTTTGTACAAATACAGTTCACAAACTGTTATAACTTTCTGGGTTTTAGTCTTAAAATGAATAGCTGAACAGTAATAACAGCTCTGTATTGTTACTCAGAAAATATGAATTAATAGGCTTATTTCTTCTGTCCCTTACAGACAAACGGAGCCGGCATCTTGGTGCTGATGGTGTCTATTTAGATGACCTCACTGACATGGATCCAGAAGTTGCTGCACTTTATTTCCCCAAAAAGTATAAGCCTTTTTCTTATATTTTTACTTTTTAAAAAGCTCTTTTCATCTTCCGTATTTAGATCAAACTCTTCATTGCCAGCCAGATAAGATGCCTTTTTCAGGGTTCAAGCAGAGATGAAGGCAGAAGGAAAGTAAAATTTTCTAGAGAGGAATATTAGAACTTTTGGAAGGTGCTGCATTTTGGCCTGAGAAAAGTGCTTACAGCTGGTTTTCTGTTTTGGTCAATTAATCATCATATATTGATTGTGGATGGTTATCTAATATATGCTGATGTTTGTGAGTGTTACTCACATGTCCTGAGAGAGCAGTTGGTCTTGGGATATATTTATCCCCTGTCCTGACTTACTACCATAAAGAACATCTCTTACTGTTAACAGTATTAGCAGAAAATTATTGTTCTAATTATTGCTCTAATGGATTTACTGTGGTTGATTCACCTATAAATATGAATGTGAGAAAATAAGTTTTGGAAGATGAATGACAGAGTTATATATGAAAATACTGCACCCTGAGCATACAACTTCCAACTTGTTCTGATCTTTATTGGAGCCTCTTGCAACATTTATAGTTCTCTTTCAACCTATGCTCTAGTCACTTGATGAAAGTCATTGAGCAACAGCTAAAGTAGCTTGTGTACTTTATTTTTCATTTTTCACTTGCTTAAACTCAGCTGCTGTAATATTAGCATTTCAATAAAGCTGAGAAGGATTAGTTGTATGGGGAAAATGTTGGATTGAAAATTTCTTTCTCAAATGCATTCATATAATTCTGAAGTGGAAAGCAGAGTTTGATGAGCTTGAACTTTCGTAATGTTGATCTCATCAGATTTTAAGTAGGTATAATAATTTATTGTTTTTGAAAATTTTAATGCTAGTAGTTTACATGTAGAGTGTTTTATTTATATACATGACACATAAATACACAAACATACACATTATTTGTTTGGGTTTAACTATCAGTTTATATAGTTAATATAGATATAATAATAAACTTACATGCTTGTTCTTGTTCCTGTGTGGGAATAGTTCTACTAGTATAAACTCTGCTTATTGTATAATTATTTTGTCTATTAAGATTATACAGTTTATTTTCCTAGCTCATATAAATAAGTGAAGCTATAATTATACATGCCTAGTTTAGACAATTAAGTAGAAGCAATCTAATACTGGAGGGCACACGAGGCCTATATTACTTTGTTTTGTTTTGCTGTAAAACTTAAACAAAGTTTTTTCTTTTTTTTTTTTCTTTTTTATTCCCTGAGCTTGTACTTGTTAAATGGAGTGAATTTGGGAATGAACACGTGAAGACTGAATTGCTGATTTTTCTGTTCCAGTGGGGATAACACCCAAAGCAGGAGCACGGCTGACGTGGGGCCGCGGCCGGCCAGCCACTCTCCGCAGTCTGCCGGGAGCTCGGGCGTTGACAGCGGGGCTGAGAGCACCTCGGATGGAATCCGGGATTTGCCCTCCATTGCCATTTCTCTCTGCGGAGGCCTTACTGAGAACAAAGAGATAACCAAAGGTACAGGATGACTGTGTGAATTGCAGACATGTGCTGGCAGCTGGGTTTGAGCTTCCCAGCCTGAGGCTGCAGAGTCCTCCTGTGGCTGTGCTCAGCACTGGCGTGAGAAAATAAATGCTGGCCATGTAAGGATAAACTTCCTAGAACCTCTCATGATTTTTAACACATTTGAACAATCCACTATATATGAAAAGTTTTGGAAGTATTTCATTGGTATTTTTACTTCCTGATAGTGCTGTGTTTTGTATCACAGTAGTGTTAATGATACTTTTGCCACTTAGTACAGTATATAGCTAGAAAACTCACAGCTGTTAGTGTCAGGAGTGAAGAAGGTGGCCCATAAATAGAGAGATGAGGAGAAGGAGTTGAAAAGTTCAGTCTGATTCCTGCCCTCCCTCCAGTTTCTGGTGTAACTTTTAGATAAATCACAATACTTTTTGCCTTAAACTTCCAGTGGCATAAAGTGAAAATAAATGTGTTAACACTTGCACTTTCTGCAGTAATGTGGTGTCACAAAATCATATGAGCCTGATGCCACAGACTGCTGCTCACAAGCTATTTATTAAAATGTTTCAAATATCCTGTGATTTATTTGAGTCATACCCTCATCTGAATCATTTGTAAATTACATAATTTTTCTAAAAGGAGATTTTCCTCCCTCGCAGTCCAACCCCTGAGCTTTCACTTTAGCTTGTATTTTGAAAGGAAAAACGCCCAGAAACAAAGAAACCCTCATCTTGTGAGATTGAGAGTCTCTGAACAACTTCCATATTGCAGTTAAATCTCATCACCCTTGTAATGAAGGTGAAACCAATGTGTGTGAGAGGTGCTGAGAGGTTTAGGTTGGCCCATCCCAGGCATCTATAAATGCATGCTTTACAAATGTAACTTCTTTCCCCCACAGAAGAGTTCTTAGAACATGCAGTAACGTATCAGCAGTTTGTGGACAATCCTGCTATTATTGATGACCCTAACCTTGTGGTTAAGATTGGAAATAAGTAAGTATACTTCATATTACTGTTATAACAAAGACACTTCTTTGTCACTTCAGTGCATTACATCAGTATAACTATAGCTGAAAACGAGGTTTTTAATGTTTGTAGCTTGGATTCATCCAGAAAGAGTCAGCTCCCTAGTGAATTCAGGTCCTTCTAGTTACCTTTCCTCCTTTGAATTGAAAGTGAAGAGCAGTTTCAGATGACCTCTTAGTGACACAATTTGAATTTCAAGAAGCTGTTATTAAATGCTAATAGTATTCACATTCAATTGACAGAGTAAAAATGAAATACGATGTGAACTTGCTAAGGCTTGCCCTGAGCCAGTTTGAATAATTAATATTTACAGGGATACATCAGTCTGCTTCCAGTCACTCAGTACCAAGCAATTTTTTTTAAATATACTGAATATTTTGCTAATATGCCTCTGTGGAGGCATTGCTTTTCAAAATTTGTCAAACTTCACCCACTGAGTTCGAGGCTTCCATTTCTGCAAGGCATTATTTTGTATGTTTGTATTGCTGGCAGCAGGGCAGTGCTGTGATCTAAGCCAGATGCAGCTTTTGGGGGGATTCTTTAACTTGAGAGTTCCTTGCACCTTGCAAACAGAGGAGAGATCATGGCTTTGTGCTGCTCTTAGAGAGGTTTGGCTACCCTTGGTCACAGCCATGGCTCATGCAAGGCTGATGTACCAGGTGATAGTTTGTATTGTGGTCAGCCTCATACCTGACCTCAGCTCTCTGTGGTCTGAGGTGAGTCACTCATTGTTTCCCTGACACTGTTCTCTGAATCTGTTGGTAGTATTTATCTGCCTGCTGAATTTATTGGGAAGAGAGGTGACCTTAGTGAGGATCTTAAATATCATCTTCTCTTAATGTCATGTGAACTTCATCTTCCCTAGACAATGGATTCTCTAATTGTCTTACTGTCTGCAACAAGGGTTGAGCCATGTTCAGTGTGTAATAATATCCTACAGACTACAGCCCCTAAGTTTTATGTGGCTCCTTGATGGAAAAACAGTGAAAAAAGCTTGCAGAAGTGTGGCTTATGCTGTGATAAAGAGGAGTATAATAAGGACTGTAGCTGGATGGGTGCAGCCAGAGAGCTGTGGTCAACAGCTCTGTCCAGATGGAAGCTGATGTCCCTGAGGGCTCTGTCCTGGGGACTGATGCTCTTCAATATCTTTGTCAATGACACAGACAGTGGGACCGAGTGCACCCTCAGCACATTTGCAGATGACACAAAGCTGAGTGGTGCAGTGGAATCAACAGAAGGAAGTGATACTGCCTGGAGGGACCTGGAAAAACTTGAGGAAAGGGCCCATAAGAAACTCATGAAATTCAAGAAGTTAAAATGCAAAGTGCTGAAGCTGGTTTGGAGCAAGCCCAGATATGAGTACAGGCTGGGAGATAACTCATTGAGAGCAGCTCTGTACAGAAGAACTTGGGGGTTCTGGTGAATGAAAATCTGGATATGGGTCAAGAGTGTGTTTGCAGCCCAGAAAGGCATACGTGTCCTGGGCTGCACCCAAAGCAGCAGGGGCAGGTCAAGGGAGGGGATTCTGCCCCTCTGTTCTGTTGAGACCCCACCTGCAGTGCTGCATCCAACCCTGGGGTCTCCAGCACAGGATGGACATGGACCTTTTGGAGCAAGTTCAGAGGAGGGACATAAAGGTGATCAGAGGGCTGGAGTGCCTCTCCTGTGAGGACAGGCTGAGAGAGTTGGGGTTCAGCCTGGAAAAGAGAAGGCTCTGGGGAGACTTCATTGCAGCTTTTTAGTACTTAAAGGGGACTTAGAAAAAAGAGGGAGAGCAGCCTTTTATATGGTAATAGTGATCTGATACTGGGAAACAGTTTTAGATGAAAAATTCTTTATTACTGTAAGGATGGTGAGTTACTGAAACAGATTGTCCAGGGAAGTGGTGGATGTCCCTGGAAGTGCTTAAGGCCAGATTGAATGGGGCCCTGAGCAGCCTGATTTAGTGGAAGGTGTCACTGCCTAAGGCAGGTGAGTTGGGATTAGATGATCTTTAAGGTCCCTTCCAACCCAACCGTTCTGTGATTCTGTGATGACTTGAGTAACGTATGACAAACACCCTTTCTGCTCAAGGCCTAGCTTCTATTGCATACCCTGAAAAATGTATGGGGTAAATACCTGTGAGCATTCTGTGGAATAAGATGGGTCTGTTATTACTAGTGCAGGTCAGAGTTTGATCTGTGCTTCATGGCTTTAACCTGCCAGGTGGTGAATACCAGGTAGATTGTGAATTGGGGCTTTGGGATTACAAAATGCTGTAATTGTCTCCCTTGCATGCCCAGGTACTACAACTGGACGACAGCTGGTCCCCTTCTGCTGGCAATGCAGGCATTCCAGAAACCTTTGCCAAAGGTGAGATTGAACATGAAGGCTGGTAAGAGGAGGAGTTTAAAAAGGTACCACTGATTAAGGGAGGGAAATGGGTTGTACAAGAGAATCTGCACATCAGTAAAATCTACCCACATATAGCCATTCATTTATCTTACATTATGGCCTAAATAAGGGCTAAGTTTGGTCTGTGAATAGTGTTTGTTTGCTAGGCTAAAGTTATTACAACTATTTTGAAGTAGAAAATTAATTTTTTATTTAATTAAAATGGATTTTAAACATAAATTACATTGACCCATGTTAGTGTTTGCTATAGCTGCATACTTGGTGTTTGCTTTCTGTTTTATATCTATACTGCATATATTATTAAATAAATACAAATAAGCTCAGTGAATAAGGTTTAAATACTAGATGAGGAAGGCCTGCAGCTTGCTAGCTTTTTGTTTCTCAGTTGGCTGTTCATAACCTAGGTAGGTAGTGCCAGATAGCTCTATGACTGTGTGACAACAGTGTGTGTTGGCTTATATAAGTGTGCTGAAGAAGTTAGTTCAGTGCCATATGACCTGGTGCCATGTAGGTGCTCATGCCAGAAATACTGTAAATGTATATAAAGAAGTAGTATCACCACTATCCCTATTTTGTGTCCTGGTTAGACCTGGATTTAATAAATTTTTGAACCTAAACTTTCCTCCTGCCATTTGCAGCACTTCACATATCTTTGGGATATGTGTGAATTCAAGTGCTATCTCTGTTGCTATCACTGTGCACTAAAAATTTCTCCAAAGCCCAGAATACTCTCTGCCAGTGTTTCTTTCTTAGTGCCACGTTACCTCCATGTGCAGTCATGTACAGCTGCATGGTACCATCCCAGTATAAAGTAAATTGAGCTTAAAAATCTCAAATATCTGGTCAACATTGCTTGAATTTCAAAGATGTCACAGAGCCAGATGTTTTGTGCATTACTGCAAATGTTCTGGTAATCATCAAACTCAAATGCCCACAGAAGGTACATGGTTACCCTACTCTGTATTTGTTGAGGGCTCACACAGTGTGATTCAGATCTTGATAGGTGCCTCTTGGGTCTTCATTGGCAATAAAAATAATGTAAGGTAACTACATTTTAAATTAAACACCTCAAAGCCTGAGCCAGATGTCTTGGGTTTTGCCTAGGATGTGTAAATGGAAAGAAGTGCTATAAAATATTTTTCCATAATGTTACAGCAGATGGCAATTTTTTCAACAGCTTGATACTTATGTCATTATTCATATAGGTTATCAGTTGAGAAAAATCTTCTATGAGTGTGTAATTCAATGTGCTTGGGTTTTTTTAATGGTTAATTTATATTCTGAATGCTGATAACTTTCTTGAGAGTGCAGTTTTAATTTAGTGGAGAAGCCAATATTTATAGTTTGAGCAATCTGTATTTTTGGAAAGGTTTGCTTGGCTTACTGTACCTCTGAAACTAAAATGACTCATTTATGTTACCAGTCATCCTACTGGTTTTCTTCATGACTTGTTACTTAGAGTTTTGATTTGCTGTAGTAATGAGGTTAAGGAATTGAAATACTAAGATACTTTAATAATAAACAGTTTATGAAGTATTTGAAAATGGATGCTTTTGCAAAAAAATTTTACTGATGTTCTGTAAAATACATTTATATGCACATCTAATTGTAAGCTTGTGAATTCCCCCACTAAAAGTTTATAGGATATCTGCTTGAAGTTCTTGACGTGTTTGAGAATCCCCTTAAATTGTTGCTGTTGTTCTCAGTTGTGGCACTCCATTCTCCATAGCTCCATCTGCTCCCTGTTTTTTTTTTTATTTTGTTTGAAAAACTCAACTTTATTTTTCTGTCATATCTTTTTTTCTAATATACTTTAGATAATATAGTGAAGAAAACCTATGGAAAAACTGAGAAAAGGGATCCATTGTGCCGCACATTATCTGAACACAGTCCTCTCTTAATTGCTAAGAGTTCTTAGTTTTTAAAATTTTTTTAAAAATCATTAATCAACATCACAGCTTTCTTTTGGCGACCTTGCTTGCAATGGAAGCTGTCATCTCAGAAATACAAGTGTCCAAGCTGTTCTAGGGTGTAACAAACCCTGTGGCCACTTTTACCTTAATATTTTCCCATCCATCTGTTGCTTCTCTATGAGTGAAAGAATTCAGCTCCCCTTGTTACAATGCATAAGGCTCCAGTCATTATAGATTGAAAGAGCTTTTCTACTGGTGTCTAGTGTGTAGAACCAATGTAAAGTAGAAAAGGTTTATAAAAGAAACTATTCTAACATTTTCAGTGAAGTTCATAGCATGATAATTCATAAACTCATAGAAGCTAGTAACTTCTTTACTTTTTGCTAAGCTGGTGATTGAATATAAACTTCGTAAATAACTCTTGCATGTCAGTTTGTTACTGTTTTGCATGATGCCTCCTTTAGGAAGTGATTTTTTTTTAATGTATATTTTGTACTAAACTTAGAAATAGCAGATTCTCCATTCTAGACGTTATACTAACATCTCTTTATGCTTTTTTTCTTCTTTGATTTGATTTCTTTTTCATTTTCCTTTTAAAAATACCATAAGTATTCATGCTTAAGTTACTTCAGAGCAGCTCTGGATACCATTAGATTTTGCTTTAGTAGAATTTATGGTCCACAGACAGTATGTTTACTTTTATTCTATTTATTATCAGTTAAAACTTGTGTGTTTGGCACTTTTTATTTATGTATGTCAGATTGTCGTTTATTTTGGGCCTTTTTTATGTTACCATCCATTTATCACAGGCAACTGTGGAATCTATAATGAGGGACAAGATGCCAAAGAAAGGTGGAAGATGGTGGTTTTCATGGCGAGGCAGGAACAGCACTATTAAAGAGGTAAGTTTAAGAAGCAAACTGAGTTTCCTTCTGCTTGCAGTGAGAGGCCTGAGATCTGCATACTCATCCCTCAAAACTTCAGAGGGTAACTTGGTACTCAGTTTGACTGAGGGCGTGCACATGAAACATAATCTGAGGTCTGTTGTTTTTGCTTCAGAAAGCTTTGGATCAGACCCTACCTGAAACATTTACCTGAAGAGTTTTGATTAATTTTCATTACACAGATCTGAGGCAGTAGTATCTAATGTATTAAATCTCTGTTTGGAAACCTAGAATCAGAGTTGTGCCACTACTTTAAAGTTTTCACTCAGATTACCTACCTCTCAGCATCTTTGTTTTGAAGGTTGAAGAGCAGGCATATTTATGAGTAGAGTGAGCTGTAAAACTCAGCAAAACCTAAGATGCCAAACTGACTATATATATTGGTTTGAAAATCTTTTTGAGTTTCTTTTCAGAGTGTTAGAAGTTTGTGATAATAATCTTAGTCATGGATGAACATTGGAAAACTAAAAACATCCAAAGCTTTATGTGAAATATTGTTGGCTAGTAAAACCTCTTCATATTAATTTATACTACTGAAGCATTAGTACTTGAGGGGAGAAAGTAACTTTTAATGCAATTTTATGGTTGTGCCTCTGTCAAGAACTTCTTCAACCTTGCATGAGATAACCATTGTACTGATCTGTGGGTGTGGGTTTCAGAGCATGAGATTTTAGTTTTATAGTTGTTTGAAGTTTTCAGGATTTTCTCTGGAAGTATTTGATTATCTCTTGAGCTGTGGTGACTTTAAATGGAACTATGTAAAGCAGTATTTAAAAATCTTGTGGGATGACTTTGGTAGTGTTCAGCATCTACTCAAGATAAAAGCACTTTAGCAAGTTTTACTGGATTTAAGATTCAAATGATTCTCTGAAAGGTAATTTGTAGGGTTTTTTTCCTTCTCCCGAGTCATACTTCACTTTCTCAGGTGAAATCTAGCTATTTGAGGTGTATGAATTGTATAGCTATGGTGTCAATCCCAGAACTTCAACAGTACTAGATGTTAAACCTGATATTTCTCTACTTCTTCCCTGCAAAACTTATTGTTCTGAGTTCTATAGTTGCAATTTTTAGTTCTTTGTACTGCCTTTATTCTTTAAGGGTTTTAATTTGCCTACAAAAAAAGGAGACAAACACACAGTTGATTTTTACTAAGTCAGTACAAGGCAGAATTTGATTTTCAACTATTTTTCTAAAAACATCTACTTTCTGCTCAACAGGAGATGCACAGCTACTCATACTTGTATTTTTACAGGAAACAAAACCAGAGCAAGGCATTAGTGAGAGTGGACTTACAGAAGAATCTTCACAGATGAGCAGGGCAAACAGGTACCCCCAAAATCATCTGTACCTGAAACAAGCAAGAGTGATTGTTTAAAAATGAAAGCAAGTGACCTCAGCTATTTGAACAAAGAAATACTGTGTCATTGAAATACTTTAAATTTGTTACTCATTGCACCACAGAAGTGCAAATAGGAGGCCCCTACCCATGGCAGGGCTACAGACCTTGTGAGTGCATTCTGGCATTTCTGTGGTTTGGCTGGCAGCTCTGGGATTCACATTCCAGCCCCTTGGAAACACACTCTAATTGGAGCAGTTCTGCAAAGCTACATGTATTTCTCTAGAGTTTTTAAGGGAACATCATAGATGAGCCCAAGCTCTTGTCAGATCCCAGTTGCTTAAAATTTTTTTATTTATTTAGATTTATGGCCTGACAAATTAATTGGTTCCTGCATATTTTGGGAAGTTAAGGGACTTTCCAGAGTGTTTTTCACAGGCAATAGTCATGGTTTTCTATTGCTTCTTTCCAGGATTGCAGAAGTCTCTTCCTTCTTGTGCTCCTAACAATGACGCTGTACAGCCAGAATCTCACCTTTGTGGGTTCCATGGCATGAGTTTTAGCTTGCTTTAGAGGGATGAGTTAGCCAGGCACAGCACTCCTACCTTGTCCCTTTTCTGTGCCTATGCATCTTAATGTAAAGACATCTTGTTTGTGCTGGCTGCAGTTACAGCTGAAAAGGACCAGATTCAAATATGCTTTATGCGCATTAAGTGAGTTTCAAGGGTCGCCCTTCTGAAACAAAAAGCTCTCATTCTTTCGGTGGTCAGCAGTTGCAGTCCAGGCAAATGTGCTGGAAGGAGGATTCCTCATTCTGTAGGAGATTAGCTGTTGTTTCTGTTGCCTCTCTGAGAATGAGAAGCAGATTTAATTGGAAAGGTTGATTTTCCTTTTAAGGATGCCAAGTGACATATAGGTCTGTTTCTTACATGGTTGTTTAAAAACAAGGTTTAAAGTGGGATTAAGAGTTCAAGCAGACTAGATTCTGAAATTGATATTCTTTGTTTAAATTTTAGGTGGCCTTAGAAGACTCTCATTAAAAATTTATTGTTTGCAAGCAATATCACAAGCGGGATGTTGAGTAAAGCTTTTGAGATCACATGTCACAAAGGATAAGATAGGCTTTTAAATGTTGCTAGTCATGACATGCAGTACCTTGATATTGGGTCAACACTACCAAACATACCTCCAGGTGTGATTGCAATAAAAGGCCAAATACTGATTGTTTTAAAGATCAGATTTGTAGGATCTGAAAGAGTTTTAAGTTACACCTACAGTGATAGGATTTTTTACTGTAGGAAAACATTCTTTCTGAGGTAGAATACCCTTAAGAAGTTTCTAAAAAATGGTTGTAGGAGAACAAAAGTAATTATTCCAATGTGTATTTAAACAGAGTAGTGTGAGGGAGCTCAGGTTTTATGACTTTTCATCATTGTATTCTGAACAGGGTAATCCTGCAAATCCCGGAAATGAATAATCCTGTTATTTGAAGCTGCTCATTGAAAGAACATGAGGAGTTATTTCGTATAATAAAACTTCCTTAGCCTGCATTTTTTTAAAATTAATTTTTAGATTCTTTGGGGGAGGAGAGAAGAGGGACAGAGAAATCCAGAATAGCAAGTGCCTCTTTTGAGAACAGAGGATTTTTAAAGTTACAGTATCTAATGGGTATTATTTTTTCATCATATGAGATTTTTGAGTTAATATAATACATTAATTAAATTCAGTAAATTTAAGTAATGAAAACTGTTATAGCCATTCACTTGCCTGTAACAATCCAAGTTTGAATAATGGGCAATGTGTGAATGGAAGTTTGGTACTTCATTGATAAATTAAAACCCATGATATGAATGACCTCCTGTGAGACAGTATTGGTGGCAGAGAATCAATGACTTATTTGGTGACTCACTGTTAATGCATTTTTAATGGCTACTGAGATGCATTTACAGGCATGATAACATCATTTTCTGTGTGTGCAATGTTCCAGAATAAAGGATGAATCTTCTTCAAGCGATGAAGACCCAAGAGCTGCCAAACAAAACCTCGGGTCATTGCAAGCCAACTCCAGTCATCTCTCATTATTGTCTGGAATCAGTTACAAAAAGTCACTTCGACTCACTTCTGACCAACTTGTGAGTTAATTTTATATCCTTGTCCTGAAATGGCATTTCTAACACAACATAAATCTTTACTGTTTTTCAGGCTTCAAAGCTTAATTAGCTCTTACATCTTGCATTTAATTCTCTCTCATTATATTTTTCAAAAAAGCCTTTTCCCTTCTCTTTTCTGTATTAAACATGAATTTTGTTCCTTGCAGCAAGTGCTGGGGTTTGGAGGTGGGATCTCATTTAGAAAAATATCAAATTCCAAAGTGTGTATTTGTCACTTGAGTAAGTGTATTGGAACCACATCCTTCCTTGTAGTATGTGAAATGTGTATATGTTGAGGGACCTCTCTTCTTTCTCCTTCCTCTCTTTTCCTTTTCTCTCATTTATAGGCAGATAGTCATATTTTGCATGAGTACAGTTTTCTGTTAGTAACTTCTGAAAGAGCTGCTTGTGAATTTATAATGAGCCCAGGCTATTGATTTCTTTGTAGCTTATTAATTTCTTTGAAGCCAATTCTCTTCCTCTGTGACAGCGGTGTTTTGGCTAATGATGACAAAACTGTTGCAGTTTTGTGTTCTGTACATTTCAATTTGATCTGGAAAAATGGGCTACTATAGGGAAATACTTCTTGTCATCTTAGGTACAGATAATTAATTTTCTGAAGGAAACCCACATGAGGCGTACAGCATTTAACAGCCCATCACTCACTGCCTGGACAATTTGTAAGAAATGCATTTTTTCCCAAGAGACAGATGAGATGTGTTGGGTATTTTCTGTTGGAAAGAGAGAGCAGGGGTTACACAAATAAAGTGGGACTTACAGTTTCAGAAACCTTGCAGAAATTAGCTGAAGTTAAAACTGCTCTTAAATTTGTTTAAAAGTGGGGGAGATTCACCAGTTACTCATGAGTTCTGCATTCTCACCTCCTTTTCATTTTTTAGCTAATTGAGAAGTTGCAAAAAAGATAATGAAGAAAAAGATACACAAAGAGTGTTAAATTCCTACAGGTCTTGGGAAAATGAACATCTAGCTTCTCAAATAGAATCAAATCAGTAGCCTGTTGCCCCACATGTCAGTAAGTGGCACAGGAGACAGTGAAGAGCAGCAAAGTAGGAGAGTTAGTGTAGACTGAAGGGTAATAGTTCATGTGGTGTGACAAGTCTATTATTTTACAAAAAAGGTAAAATAATGAAGAACACAAATGCCCCTAGCAGAGGTCTTAATTAGAGTTTATGTGACTTTTTGTTATATTTCTCTCTGCATATGTATCTTTCTTTTGGAGTGGGAAGTGCCCATAGATGGTCCCTTTTCCATCATTTTTTACTGTTTGTGAACATTTGGGAATTTTTTTTTTAAATTTACATGACTGTGAAACAGAATTTTTTTGTTTTTTTGTTTTGTTCTATAAATCAATGCCTTGTATACACCACACAGGGTAAACCTCTGATGTTGTCTTTTTGAATACCTCTTCTGAAAGCAATAAAATTCAATGTGACCAAATTGGGTTGACTGGTTGGATGGCAGGTGCCCAGCCAAGCCACTCTGTCACTCCCCTTCTCAATGGGACCGGGGAGAGAACATAAGGTGGATAAACAAAGAGAAAAGCAAGTATATTCTCTGCTTCCCACCAGTGAGGGATGCTCAGCCACTTCCTAGAAAGCAGGGCTTCAGCTGTGGGAGGCAAACATTGTAAAATAGCAAATGCCCCTCGTTGCTCCTCCTTTCCTTAACTTTTATATTTAAGCTGATGTTGTATGGTAGGGAATGCCCCTTTGGTTAATTTGGATTATCTGGCCTCCCAGGATCCTGGCCACTGCCAGCCCCTTGATGGGGAAGGAATGTTGGAGAGACAGTGCTGCTGCTGTGCCAGTGCTGCTCAGCAATGCCCAAAACACCAACACCTTTCCAGCTGCCAGTGCAAAGCACAGCACTGTGACGGTGGCTGTGGGGAAATGAGCTCCAGCTCAGCCAGACCTATTACAATTTCCACCCCATTCCTTACTATTTGTATTGCACTCAGGTCCCACATAATTGATATATCTTCTAATTGTTCCATTGTTTCATTTCTCTTTATTGAAATCCCTCCTTACCCACAGATTTAACTTAACTACATTCTTAAACCATCTCTATACCAAACGTACATTTCATTAGCTACTATCCTATCCTTTCATAGATACATACTACTTTCCCATTCCATGAGCTTCCTCCACCCCTCCAGATCCATGACTTGGGCTCCATTGCATCAGGATGGGTGGTCAGGAGAGGAGAGCAGCATACCTGATTGTTGGCACCAACATTGCTCCAGCTCGGGTCATCATATCATTTCCCTTGCTCCTTGCAAAATTCATTCTTCATCAGTTCATGTTGTTGCTTTTACTTTGCTTCCTTCAGCCTAGAATTTACACCACAGATTATTTTTCCCCAGTGTTAAATCTCCCTGGGGCACATACTGGTTCTCCCTATCCTTCTGAATTACCCCCCAAGCACACTCTGGTCTTTGGACAAAAAAAAATCCCATAAATGGATTTGACTTTATGGGAGGAGAAATCCACACCAGCTTCCCCAGCCAAAACCACCAAGGCAATGCTCATGTGCAGCTTTTACACTGTGCCCATTTCACATGCTTAGTTTGTTGATCACCTTGCTGATAATGTCTTGCAGAAAAGCTTAAAGCTCAAGAATGGCCCCAATGATGTGACCTTTAGTGTTACAACCCAGTACCAAGGCACTTGCCGCTGTGAAGGCACCATTTACCTGTGGAATTGGGATGACAAAGTTGTTATTTCTGATATTGATGGGACAATCACACGGTGAGTGCGTGAACAGAGAGAGACTTTATATACAAGGATTTTCCTCTTTAGTTTAAAGGAAAATGTAATTAACAAGGAGTGTCAATCACAAAATCTTCATATACAAGTGTTTTGGGATGTTTTGTTTCTTGGTTTTGGGTTGTTGTTGTTTTTTTTTAAATATTTTTAATTTTTACATTTGGCTTTCAAACAATACAACAATCTTCAGTTGAATTCCTAATTTAATAGACACATGCCATATGTACCCATTATTTATTACCTGTTGGTGTTTCATGATAGTATTGGAGGACCTTCTGCAAAATCTTGACCTTTTTGTTGCATCACACTCATGATGTAGGTAGTAATTAAAAGGAGTAATTAAATATGAAGGAGTAATTAAAAATAAGAAACATTAATTTTGTTTTAAATGGCACTCCTGGGGCATTCCAGTGTTAGGCATATTACTTAGAATACTAGACTCCAAAATCAATGTCAGAGCTAGAATCTGATGGAAAGTTTCAGATTAGTACTTGGGGTAAAACTCATAATTTTGGAGTGACCAAAAGGATTTACTGACTTGCTGGTTTCTATTTATTTATTGTATTTAACATTAGGGAAGACAATTGTCTGTGTAACAGGGAAAGCATGAAATAAAAATACAAGCATTGTCTTTTGTAGTGAGATGTTTAATTGTTTTGAAATTAATTTATTTCAAAATCAATCTTAGCTATATCTAATTAGGAAAAAAAAAAGGAAAAATAGTTTTCAAGAGCAGTCTGTGGGAAATTAAAATACTTGATTTAGACTGAAATTCTCTTCGTCCTTGTGATTTATCCGTTGTATGTCAGACTTCTCGTTTGATGTCAATGTAAGTTAACATCTCTCCCCATTTAGCTTTCTTAAGCTTCAATAAAGTGAGTGGAATCTGTTCTCTCTGCTGTTGATCTGCCCAGAGTTATTGAATCACTTCACCTTACAGTGCTGGTGCAAATCCTTCCTAAGCCACTACCCAATGTTTCTTCCTCCAAGATGCAAGTTATTCAGGGTGTGGACTTCTGACTGTGTATCTGTACAGTACTTTGTCAAGCAAGATGCTCATTTGCACTAATTGGTATTATAGTGTAAATATTTTTCTATCATATAAAGCCAGAAATACATTGAAGCCAGAATGAATATTTGAAAATAGTTTACACCTGACCAACTCCTGGCTCAATGTGGAGAACTTAGTTTGAAGTAAGCTAAAATGTGACTTACCTCATACTTTAAATTTCTCATAAATGTCCATTATGGGTAGGTTTGGTTTATTTAGAAAACATTTAACATAAACTTCAAAAATTATGTTTAGCATTGGTGGCCTCCTAGAGGTCTGAGTGATGCTTGTGTGCTGTGACTTCTGTATTACCTTTTGGGGCACAAGCTTATCCATCTTGAGGCACAGGAGTAATTTAAACAACATGGCCAAGGATGAGCATGTCAGTCTATCTAAAAAAAAAGGGAAATAAATTAATTCTCTTCTGATGACAATCAGTTCCTTACAGAATACCTTTTTCCATTTGCAGCTTCCGAGTAAGTTAGTGGGATTTGTATTAGACCTGACTGTTATTATAAGTATGGGTTTTTTTCAGCTCACTTATATTGTTTTTCCTTTATTTAGGTCAGATACTTTAGGTCATATTTTGCCAACTCTTGGCAAAGACTGGACACACCAAGGGATTGCAAAGTTGTACCATAAAGTGAGCCAGTGAGTATTCAGTAAATCTGCATGCATCTGTGGCTAGTGTTTATTCATTTGTGTGTAAAAATTTAAATTTCTCTAGGCTTCTCTTAACCTATAAGGGTGTCAATTTCATCAGTATCTTCTTGCTTTAGTGATGCTTACACAGTGTAAATGTCTCCTGCATTATATGCAGAGCAAAACCTGCTTTGTGACAAGAAAAGCAAAAGCCCTCTATCTGTGAGTTTTTCTTTTATTGCAAGAATGTCAGCTTTTCTTATATATTTAAATTACCATGAACGTGTGAGGAGTTTCTGGTACATGTCACAACTCCCCTCTTAGTTAATCTGATTTGTTCTGTGTACTAGAGTTCTGCTAAGGTTTGTTTATTGCTTTTTATTTTACATGGATGATGAATTATAAATTATGGATATTGGAATCTAAATTATGCCAGAGACACTTTTCTGCATGTTAGACAAACGTGTTCACAGAAAAGACAGGACAGTCTGGGCATTCACATGCTGAGTTTTATGTACAACCTCTGCATTACATTTGGTGGAAATGTTAATTAATTTTTTTAATTGCAGTTATTTCTGTGCCTACCAGCATTATCAGTTGTTAGGGCTTTGATGATCATAAACATAGGGGAAAAAATAGATTTGAGTCATGTTGGTTTTCAAATTACTGAGTTAATTATGTCGTGGCTATATTACAGCTGAACACCATATAAATACTTAATAGTTACATCTAATGACCATGTGTGTACTGAATACAGTCTGTCTTTGTTTTATGAAAATTATTTTGTCAATAGGAATTGGAACTAAGCTGCTAAGTTGAGCTAATATAAGATAGGATTCTGTTCTAACACGAGCAGAATCAAAGGCAACCTGTGACTTATGCCAAAACTTTCATTTCAGTGTCAGGTTAAAGATTACTTCTCATACTGTGTTTTGAAGCTCAAGTTGTTTCAGCTTGAGAAAATGTGTTATTGCTGGACATCTTTTTTTGCAGAGGCCTGAGAGGCAGAAATGCAACACTGTTAATACAGCAAAGGCCAATATACCATTGTCTGCTTCATGCCAAGTGTTTTCCTCTTTGCAGATGGCTTTGCAGTTAATTCTAAGGACAATGGTTCCACCACACAGGGGTGGAAAGATAACCATAAGGAGTCACAAGTCCTGAGAGGAGCAGAGATAAATGAGCCCTCTTCAGGTGTAATCACTAAATGCAGTGGAGCTAGATGGGTTTTAATTACCCAGTTTTTTGGCATAAATGTTTTTACTTCTTTTAAATTAAGTCTGGGTTAAACATACTACTTAACAGCCACGATTTGATTCATGTAAAAGTAAACCCTCATAATTATTACTATCGAGACACCTGCTTTATTTTTAAAGTAGTTTCTTTTATATCTGCTCACAGAAATGGATATAAATTTTTGTACTGCTCAGCACGAGCTATTGGAATGGCAGGCATGACCAGAGGATACTTGCACTGGGTCAATGAAAGAGGAACTGTGCTGCCTCAGGGGCCGGTTTTGCTGAGTCCAAGCAGCCTATTCTCAGCTCTTCACAGGTAATGCAATTTTGCTTCTACAGGGACGGAAGTGGAGTCTGGATTATCAGCTTTTTTAAGTAGGAGTGCTTGAAATAATTAATAATTTAATTTTTTTTACATATTGGTGCAAAATTTAATTAAGAAATTTTGTTAGAGAAAAACCAAAATTCAGTAGTTACTCAATATCTATTTTTGCCTAGTTTATATCTTAGATGTATATTAAGGCATAGCTGTGTTCACTGTTTACCAGTAGGTACAACTTGGTGACTTCATGTGTTTAACATTGTGTGTTCATATTTAGAGAGAAATGTCCACATTTTTGGCATATTTCTGTGGACATTTTAATAGCAATCATTCTTGTCTTTACCTGTAAGGTGTTCCAGTTGGCATATTTTTCTGGAAGGTTATTTCTTGATGGTTTTTGAAGAAATTAATGTGAAAATGAAATGAACTTTTTATATGCCTGACTGCACTGTGGAATTCTGTGAGAACAATGTTATCTTTCCTAGGTGTTGAACTGTGGTGAGTGAATAATAACAGCACAGATTATGAATATTGTACCTTCTGCCTAATTCAGCGAGGCATGTCAAGTGATTACTGAAAATATTTTAAGCTGTTAAAAGCTGCTGTGACAAGATATATTTCATTAGAATTTTTAATGGAAGCTTGTTCAGATGTTCTCCTGATTGAGTGACATACTACAGCCTGTCTTACCAGTCACATTCTAAATATAAGAAACCATGGAGGTATTAGAGTGCACTTCTCAGACTGATTAAGTAATAAATGCAGTGAAAGGTAGTTACTGCTATCTTATACTCCTTGTATCTAGAAATGCCTTTAAAATGATACTCCTTTTGATACCTTGTTTAGACTAAGGAATGCCCATCTTTCAGTGTACACTATTGTAACTGCTGACGTGTGTGGGCAATAAATTACTTCACTGTTTTATCCATAAATTTAATCCTTGTAGGTTTGAGATCAGGTGTATGTGAGACTGAGGAAAAGTGGGTTATAAATCAAGGCATTGATTTATACATGGATCTGCTGTTCCAAAGGGTTGCTTTACTCCTATGAAGCTTCTGTACTATTCACATCTTCCTTGACATTTGTGTTGGTACTAGGATCTTGGATTCTGAGCTGCTAAAGTGTTTTTGTGTCATGCTGGCATCTTCCTATGTTATGGGAACTCCAGACTCTGCCACCTGTTTAGTCCTCTTGCCAAGAGAAGTTGTTGTGAAAGGGCTTTTGCCCAGAGATGAGAACTCCTGTGTTCATTAATGAATTCTCTATTCTGCAAGAAGTAGCTGAAGAGAAATAGAAGATTCCTTTATTCCTTTACTTTTGCTAATCAGCAGTGGTGGAGAACCTGACTCTAATTCTGTCTTAACAGGCTGAGGTGCTTCTAGCACATATGGTGATTGCAATCCTTTTAAAAATAAAATTTAAAAAAAGCACCATAAACAGTGAGGGCTGATATAATCTATGAGCCATTCTGCAGTTCTCAAGAGGCAGTTTACTTGGTGAGAGTTTATGTCTCATAAGGATTGATTTAGCAGATACTCCCTGTAATCCAGTATCCTTGCTCAGTAGTCATCATTGTAATGTAGGCTTCAATAGAAGTTACCTTGTTTCAGAGGATTTATTTTCTGTGCCCATTGTGTAAGCTTGGGAATATTGTTTTGTCTTCATGGGCAGTCTGACTTCTAAAAGATTTATTGGAGAAGAGTGGATGCTATGCAGCAGTATCTAGAAAATGTTGAATAAAGAAGATAACATGGTTTGTGGTGTATTTCATGTGTACTTATTCAGCTTCCCTTTTTTATCTTTTCAGGGAGGTCATAGAAAAGAAGCCAGAAAAATTTAAAGTTCAGTGTTTGACAGACATCAAGAATTTGTTTTATCCTAACACAGAGCCCTTTTATGCTGCTTTTGGAAACAGACCTGCTGTAAGTAATAGCTGAATTTATTTCTATTGCAGAGAACAGAAATGTTGCTGTTATTCATGGTTCTGTTGTATTAGAACCTAGAAGCTTTAAATGAGAATTAAGCACAATTTATTAGGCCCTGTACAAAAGAAGGTATTAAGGTTCTTCCTCAAAAATACCATGATGTAGGATTTAGAGATGGAAGAGCAGCAAAGTAACTAGGTTATATCTGCATAAATTAGCAGTTAAGCTTGTGTAGAAACGGTGATCTCATTTTAATCCACACAGGTACAGTGGCAGTGAGGTAACTGTGGGCAGGCAGAAAATATTCCAGATTAATATTGGTGAGACTTACACTTCTCTAAGTACACTCAAATAACCTTGAATGTCCCATCAAAGTCAAAAGGTTACACTTTGTATGGAAAGTGATATATTGGACATAGAAAAGGATATGTCCAATATGATATATTGGACATAGAAAAGGATAGAAAATGACATATTAGACATAGAAAAGGAAAGACAGATCTGTCACCTGTTGGAAGACTGGATATTTGGGCTATAGAAGGCTTCTGCCCTGGACCAAAGAATGCTGTTAAGCATCTAGAGGAGGAAACAGTCTCATGGGCTTGGGCTGAGGGGGAACCCTGGCATGTAATTACTCCTTCTTTAAAAGCATTATGTCAGAGCTTACAGAGCTCCTCACTATCCCATTGCTGTATTGAACTGTTATATTATAGGCAGCTTAGTTTCCATTATCAAGGCACCTTTAAACATAGGATTATGAAATAACATTTTAAAAACTTCTGTGATGTTGTATTACAGATAATAACTACCTCTAGTTCCATTTTTATTTGAACCTCAGGGAAACATGCATTAAAATAATGATTTTATTTCAATACTATTTCAAGTAAAACAGTAAGTTACTGTTTCTAAAGTAATTACTGGTAGCTCACTCCCATACTTGCTGCTAGAGTGCAGGCTTCAGGTGTGCAATGTGCCATAGGTTTTGTGTAGCTCAGGATCACAGCTTTCTCAGTTTTCTGCTCTGGGTTTTCTGTTGTTTTTCTATTTTGGTTTTTTTTGGAAGTTGGTTTTTTGTTGTTGTTGTTTTGTTATGTTTTTCATTTTGATTGTTTTTTCCAAGAACAAACTCAGAGAAATTTCTGTACAGATGGGTGTTACAGGTGTAGACAGTGTGTGGACTGCCATGATGCAGAATTCTTGAAGTGACTGCTCTTCTCATTTGTTCAGTTACTTAATTTTTTGAACAGTCTTTACAATAGAAATAATAATAAACTTTGTGGTTTCAATAATGTTCCAGTTTTTCACCATCTTTGGTTTTGCTCTGATCTTCTGGGAGATATTTTCAACTTTGGTTTTGTTGAGCTTTTCTTCAGAGCAGATCAAAACTTATTTATTGTTTTCTTTAACATTCTGAATTTTGTAGAAGACATTCTTAATTCTGACTTCTAATTGTACTTCCCATAGTTGTATCTGCATTGCCTGCTGTGGCTCACTGCTGCTGTTTTAGCATATATTTCTTGCTTTCCCTTCTTTTTCCCTTGTTCTGACATGGAGTATGCCATATGAATATGCCACAAATCTGAACTCAAGAGCTAAGCGATGGCTTTAGTATAGACATATTTGTTATGAATTTTGTGACCTTGCCCTTAAAAAATAATTCCTGTTTTATGTGTCAGTTACATTTTAACCTCTGTACACTGTTGTAACATACTTGGTACAATGCACACAGGGCATTAAATATTCTCTGAAGGAAAAATGAAGGTGCTAATGTGCTCTTACACCAAGTGTCATTAGTTCTATACTGAATGTTATTATTGTGTCAAGGGAAGTTACTGAAAAAAATGAACATGATTTTGATTAACAGTTTAAACTGAAGTGGCAAACTTCTTATCTAGCAGGAAATTGTCTGTTTCATGAACATTTCATTAGACTGACCTCGTTTGTAACATAATGGAGAATTTCAGGCACACAATAACTAGGTGAATTTAGTACCAGTTCTATGTAAATATGTTCTTTTGTGTAATATATTACAGCAAGATTACACATGATTTTGCAAAGGCGGAATCATGATTTTTCTTCTTTTTTATTCTTTTTAGGATGTTTATTCATACAAACAAGTGGGGGTTTCTTTAAACAGGATATTTACAGTTAACCCCAAAGGAGAACTTATACAAGAGCATGCGAAGACAAACATCTCATCGTAAGTAATCTCTTATCCCTAGCACTTCATGGACTAAATTCATTTGCTCTAACTTATGACTCAAGTTGCCCAAAGATCCATTCAATTTTAGTAATTAACGATTCTTTATAATTCTTCAAACAAAACAAAAAAGATTTAGATTAAAGTACAGACTTTCCACTTCCCTTCAGCTAAACTGACAACAAGATTTTTTGAATATTTAGTATAATAAATTCCATCTACTTTGTTAATGTAAAAGATTTAAAAGTGGATAATTTAGTCTGCATAAAAATGAGACTCACTAGTTTGCTGATACCATCTGCCTTTTCAAAATTTCCTTTTCCTGGATCTCCTATCTAGAAGAGCCAGAAAACAAAATCTGAAGAGAGGGTCAAGTGCTTCCAGAAAGATGCTTAGGCACTGGTAACCCTTAGCACTGGAATGGCTTTTAGTAATGTTAAGTGTTGGTGTCTTTAATTGAAGGGCAGCCATATGTGCATAAAATATGAATAATCAGTTGAGCAGGGAGCTGCTTGAGCCAAGCTGGACAGAAATGGAGAAGCAGAATCTGGTGTTTGAATATTTTAGCAGATGATCTATGTGTAAAATGGCATCTGTTTCTCACTAGGTAAGTATCATTTGTTAGAATGAACAGATTAGAATGAATTTCTTATACTAACTCTGAATCCTTTCTGGAAGCTGGGCACCAAAATTAAATTTAGTTTTATTGCTTTGAGGAGGGTGACTTGTGCACTTTGTCTGTTTGTAAATGTAGTCATGCCTTAGTGGTTGGGACGTTTAAAAAATTTAAAATAAAGATGGTCTGAAATGGTTCAGCATTCTTTTTTTTTTAATTTTCCAGCTATGTCAGACTCTGTGAAGTGGTCGATCACATTTTCCCTTTGCTGAAAAGAAGTAATTCTTCAGACTTCCCTTGTTCTGACACCTACAGCCAGTTCACCTACTGGAGAGAACCTCTGCCACCATTTGAAACTCAGGATGTACATCCAGCCTCATCTTAATCACATCTCCAAATTGTTGGTCTCACCTCAAAGACTGGGTTGGCTTGTGTTGAAAGGACACCACTTGGCTTCTGCTGTTGACAGTTCAGTTGGGATCTGTGAAGTTGTGAGCATTGTATTCTTCTGTTGTGAGCAAACTTAGGAATGCTTTTTCATACTTACTTAGGTTTCCAGACAAGAGGAGTCTTGTTAGGAATAGGAGTTGCTTTTCTAGGTCCTTTCCCAGTTCCTCAAATTTTGCCATGCACTTTCGTTATATAAGGTCAATTAAAAGTGCAGTGATGTTGAGGTAACCATGCCATAAGGTTGCAAAGGGATTCCACATCTGTTCTGCATCACTGAAGCCATCTTCCATCCTGTCAGAACCCCTTGCCAGTAAGGGAGCTGAAAGTGCTCACCATTCCTGACATTATCTGGTGACACAAACAGGGATTACAATCTATGTATCAAAATCCTTCTCTCTGAAGGAGCAAATGATTCCTCCTCTCTTCCTTTGCTTGACCAACAACTGTTTGTTTAAGAGTTAATTACTGGTCTAGGTCCTCAGCAGATGTAAATCAGTGTAGCTGTCAAAACCAATTGAGCTGTGTTTGATTGATTCCAGCCTGTTTTGACATGGGACGCTTCTGAGGAAATAAATTATATGTATTCTAAATTGAAAGTAAATGAAATAGGATGGCCAGATTCTTCCAGTCTTTCTCAGTTTGAGAACTATCATATTTCAGGAGTAGCTTTTTGGATCAAGGTCTGTATTCAGGTGGAAGATACAGGCCACTGTGGATAGTGCCCACCTTACTGAAGTGGGTGATTTTCAGTAAACACATCTTTCCCACACACAGTGTGCTGAGGTTGAAGATTTTTTACTGAGCCAAAAATAGTAAGGATTTTATCAAAAAGGAATAATTTTGTTTGAAATATTATTTTGTTAAAATGTGAATTTTGATGCTGGTGAATGACGCATCTCAGGTTTTTACTGTATGGATGTTTTTGCTTTGTTTTGTATCATAAAGAATGGATACTTTTAGTGCAATTTACTCTCCTTTAAGATAATGAAATCTCCAAATCTCCTTTTTTTTTTTCCATATTTATCCAGACACAAGCTGTAGATATTGCTTTTGACAGCCTTAAGACTGAACTGTGTGCACTAAAAGCAATACTGTGGATCAGTTGATAACATTTTCCAAATGGTCTGCCTTTACACAATGTGGTACTTAAAATATGGACTCCAAGTGCCCACATGCCTAATGATTTCAAATATGTTGTAGATAGGAAAGAAATTTTTTTTTCCTCTTGGATTATACTGAAAAGTCTAATTGTTCTCTGAAATGGTGAAAATGGCATCATGGGCTTCTATGTATATTGTATTTCGGTATGACTACACTGGTGGTTCACAAGCTGTGGTCTCTGCCAGCTTGTGATCTGAGGCTATGGTAAGTGTTCTGCAGCTGCTTTGTAGTGTTTTCACTTAAGAGTTTAATAACAGGAAGGCAGAGTTGTCCAGGAGACATTTTAAGATGTGATTATGGTTGTTCATCCCCCAGAAATTTGGAAATGGCTGCTCTGTATCACATTTCTTTCGTAACAACAAATTCTGGCTTTGCGTGTCAAGAGTGATCGCAATGTAGATAGGATGGGAACTCTCTGGTAGGGATTTTCTAAGTTTTACTGCTGAAGACTTTATCTGGGTTCTAAGTGGGCCAATTTATGATTTCTCTGTGCCTTCAATAGTAATGAGAACATGTGCAATGCTTTACATAGCTGCAGTGTGCAGTGGAGAGCCCTCCCTAAGTCTTCCTTTCACATGAACGTTGCTACTTCAGGAAAGGTAAATATCTGCTTTGGACATATCAGGATTAGACACAAAGAGGAAGAAATGTGTGTTTGACATTTGTTTGACAAGTGTTTGACAACCCAGAACTGATTATGTTCTCTTGAAAGTTTAAAGAAAATGCAGATATCTTTTTACTTCAAGGTATAAGAAATATGGGGTGGATTTTCTGAAAGACAGTCAGTGGGGATTGCAGATTGCCAAACTGAGATGGTTGCATCTCTAAATAGAGCCACACTTTCCTTTAATTATCTATTAATACTTGTCATTAATCATTGAATAAATGGACAGATGTACTAGCTGCATCCTATTTAAATTCAGTTTTGGTAAAGGCTTATTTCAATCCATTTATTATATAAAATATATAAAATAAAACTAACTGTTCTCTTCGGTGAGAGGCTGTCAGTTTTGTGGTTTTTATCCTTAACAGTAGTTAAAATCTATTTTCCCAAGATGGTACATGCAGCAATTCCCACCAGAAAAGATGGTCCTGAAAGTTCTCCACAATTAAAGCCTGTGATATATTTATTTATAACTTAATAAATAGGCAATCTAGGGTTGTTTCTTGCCTTTAGTATTTAAAACAAAATGATAATGTGAATAAGGAACTGTTTTAATTGTCAGATTGTGGCCAGAGTGCAGTGCTGGTACAGGTGACCCTGAGGTGCTGCAGAATCTGTCCCAGGGTTTTTCAAGATTTGATTAAACAGGGTTATGGCTGACTTGATCTAGTGTTGGTATCCATCTGCTTTAAGGCTGAAGTTGGACTGCATGACCTCCAGGGGTCCCTTCTGACCAACTTTTCTGTGATTCTGTGACGTTCAAAGCTTCGCTTCTGAGTTGCTGCATCCCCCTTTGTATCTGAAATTGAAATGTAGCTGAACACTGTCAGGAGTGTGTGTTGCTGTAACTTTTATCAAATTTACTGACAAAAAAGACACTTACATGAAAATCAAGGGTTTGACCTGCTAGAAACATCACCATACTTTTCCAGAACGTATAAGACATTTTGATTTGGTAGCCGAATAATTTTAGCGTAATACTTAAACTGCTTTGTTAATTCATGTAGCAGAAAAATATATTTAAAAAATGCTACTCTTTCTGTGAAAGAAAAAAATCAATCTTGCTTGCAGTGTAATGCTGGTTTTTGTTACAGAAAGAATATGTTAACAAAAGTATGCAGACACATTAAATCACAGTATATTCTATTCATACAATACACAGAAACTAGAATATGCAGCAGTGAGGAGTGACTAATGTTTATTTTCTTGATGCTGATGACCACACCATTTTAGCTGGGTCATGGGAGGGAAAGAATGTTGTACTTGTGACATTAGTTATGCTGAACATAAAATGTTACTGCTGTAATTTGGGGAAGGAGGAGAAAGAGGTATTGGATATTTTTGATTTGTAGATATGGTTTGTTATTATTTGAAAGACTATTTATATACAGTGTTTACTCTGTATATGTATGTGCTACTGCAGTGATGAAAATAGTTTCAACACTTCATTTTGATCTGCTGAATGCAACAAGAGTAGAAATATATATTGTAATAAAGGCAAAAATAAATTTTTTCCTGACTTTCCTATTTTTCTGTGTTCTTTGATAATGGCAGAGTGCTTTTGCAGAACTGCTGAATGTGTAAAGCATGGCTTTTGTATCTCCAGTCTCCACTGCCTGTTTCTTACTGGGGCTATCCAGTGTATCTTATATTATTTTTGCTGTTCAGCTGCAGTGTTTTACCAAGAGCCTTTTAAATCTGAGAGTTTACTGAGGGAGATGGGGCCAGGATCTGGGCTCTGGCTCTTTTGGGACATGGGAACAGCACCTTGGAGCCAAGAGCAACCAGACGGGAACTGAGGCAATTTGGAGCAGTCAGGAATCCTACCCCAGCCCAGAATTTTTTGAATCTTTCTTTTGTCTAATTCCTAGTGTGACCTGAGCAAAAGCTGTCCATCTGTTTTGAATGGGGATGCTGTCTTCCATCCATGGCAGTGAGACCAGATAGCCTGTTTTGTGGGCTTCTCTTTGACATAGGCCATCCTGCTGGGGAAAAGCCAATAACCTTTTTTCCTCCTGTCCCTGAGAACACAGTGGTGCCTTTTGCTCCCCTGCCAGGTCTGCTGAGCAGCCTCACTGCAGTGCAGTGATACTGCCAGGCCTGTGAGTGCTGGTATGGAAACAAAGATGTTTGGGGTTGATAAGGCTCTGTGGCATCTCAAGTTCTCTGTTAAAAATACAAGAGCAGCCGTATTTGGGCAGCCTGCAGTTGCTGCTTCTTCAGTGTTCTCTATCTTCTGTATGTCTCTGCCTTGTATAAACATTTGCCCTGGAGCTCTGGAGACAGACTTTGAAATGAAGGTAACCTGTTAATTAAAAGTCAGAGAAATGGTGCTTTTGCATCAGCAAAACAAACTTTATAAGGACACTCATTGCTCCTGGAAGATCCCATTGACACTAAAGATACAGCAGTCTGAGGGAGGAAGCTCCTTAGGAGCAAAGAACATAAAGTTGTTGGGGGGGGCATCTTTTTATGCCATGAGAAAGGTAGAGAATATTTCCTGAATGCTACATTTTCATCCTTATAAATAACTTTAATTCAATATGCATTGCATGTGCCATGAAGTACCTCAGGATAGTTCATTGCCAGAGTCAGAAGATGGTTGATGCTAAGAACTAGTGCCTGAAAATATCACTAGTGTAACTTGCAGCCCTTTATGAATGCATGAAAAGGTGAAGTCTGAGGGTTGTTCTTAGTTTTCTTTGTTTTATGTTTATTTTTTTTCTTTCTTTTCATAAAACTCCAGCAAAGTACACTCGTGAAGGGAATATACTCACTGTGCCATGACCTCAGGTAGTCTCACTCTTGTGCTTGCAGTAAAATACAGCCTCTCATTGTGTTCAGTAGCATTTTGGAAATATGCAATCAAAGGGCTACTTGTAAATGGGAGCCAAGAGACGGTGCTGAGGAATTACAGCCGTTGGATGCTGTGGGAAGAGACCTTCATTGAGACCTTTCCAGCCATTGTGAAGTGAGGGAGAAAAATAAAGGTAAAATGAGAATTAAGTTTTTTTCTAAGGGGAACTAGAGAAGGGGAACAAAACCAGAACAAGTGGCCAAAAAGCACCTTCTTGTTCCTACCCTTGTGCTGACCCTGGGTGGTGCTGGGTCAGGCACTGAGCTCAACCTTGTGCCCCCTAAGTGCACAGCCTGTGATCTCCGTGTGTCTGTGCTGCACAGAAGACATCAGAAGGCCCTTTTGGCTTCTTTTGCCAGACAGAAGAGAATAACATTGAACAAAAGGAATTCTATGCTCAGGTGTCCAAGGAGTACTGCTAACAGCAAAACAAAGTTGCAATTACAGCTAAATTTTAAGCTTATGTAAGGACTAGGGCTTCTTTATTATTTTTTCATGAACTTGGGAAACAAAGCTTTCACCTGCACTATCTGCACCT